TCATAGATTGTTGCTGTAATGATAAACAGCACACTTGTGATGGTATAGGTAACTGTTTATTGTAATTACGTACAAGAGTAAGTAATTACAATAAAATTAAGAAATTACTTACAAGAGAAAACGGGCAACCAAGATGAACCAAGTAGCTTTCCACCACTGAACCGGAAGCCGAAATGAGAGCAAATGCGACTCTGCTGAAGTCTTTTATAAGAATCTCCGTACACGCCTCTAGCCACGCCCAAAAGTGGGCCTGGCTAGCGGCATAGTTCACCACCCTGTCTCTAGTCATTCCCAAAGTGGGTGTGGTTAGCACCGCCCTATCATTACTATGGGCCTCTAGCGTGCCACGTGGCTAATGGCGCAGTCCTTAGTCTCCTCCCACAATAGGTACTGTTTTAATTTTACTTAATGAGTCGAACAAGGCTATAAATTCTAACCTGATTTGAAATTTGCTCTTTTGTTAAACAATTTTGGATCTATAAAGTACATTTTGGCCTTTAAAACATCCTATACCAATTAAAATTCAAGTTTCATAGCTACGAAGGGAAATACATGAAGATGTGAAATAATTCAACTGATATAGTGAGGCAAAATTATTAACATGAGAATATTCATAGACTTCAGGCCCACTGATTGTTCTTATAATTAAATTACCAATTCCATTCTTCTTGACACCTTAGGATGAAAATTCTTGCTAGAAGAGATACTTAATAGATATACTAGGTTGAGTGAAAGAGGGGATTTTTTTTGGTGAGGTTGGAAACGTTCGCTGTATGAGAAAAGTGACACTATGCTTTAACTAGTGTTTTCATAATTTACTGATTGTGCATTTCTCAACCAACTGGTTATTCAATAACAAATGATCAGTCCCGAAAACATACATGGAAGCAACAATATACAGACTGTGCTGGTGCATGCATGTATTTAGGAATATATACAAATATATTCATATGTATGTAGCAACAATTAATGAGAAGAGAATTTGAAAGAGATATGGGAGGTTTTGATGGAGGAAAGAGAGGAGGGAAATGATGTAATTATGTCTCAAAATTTTTAAAAAACATAAAGATAAAGTCATATTTTAATTTTTCAAGCTGTTGGAATGTGCTTCTTGAGTATAACACAAGTCTATCAGTTAATATTTTGATACCAAGGTATTTGAGAATAACCGTGTAAAAGAAATACTAGAAAGCAGTTTCAAAATTGTTCAACGATCACCCCAGGGTCAAATTGGGCTTTTCCTTTCTAACTTTTCAACCATCCTCTTGCAATTAATCAAGTGCCTTGGGTGCTGGAGGTTTAGAGACAAGTCATGCCCTGAGATCATACACTGCTATCTTAGAGTACCATAGTCTTTACCCTGAGGAGGGTCCCATTGGTTCCTGGCCATCTGCCATAGTTGCAATAGAACCTAGGAATACTTCTAGCTTGTGAACTTAAGCAAATTGAGTTGAGACCATAACTGGCTATGAGTTGATTTGTGACAAGACTTCCCATCCTTCTAGGCTATCCTTTCAAATCTACCCCGTCCTCCATATTCTTTCTTTCCAATTGTTTAAAACCTTTAGATGGAACCCAGATGTTTCCAGTGTAAGCCCAGTACACTTGATGAGGGGTAGAGAATATAAGCATCATAGTTCCAACACATCATATGAAGTGCCTAATTAACAACTCCCTTTATTTAAAGCCCGGGAGGTGAAATATATTTTGAAAAACCACTAAAATAAGCTACAGGAACATCCACCATCTTTTCCACAGTTATAACTCGCAAATGGATGAACTGGTTCCTCCTTTAAATTAGTAACTTTGTGATCACTCTAAAAGACAGACATGGTAGCACACGCTGACCATTCCAGCACTTGAAGGTTAAGGCAGGAGAAACATTGAGTTCCAGGTAATCTGAGAAATGTAGACCATTCCAGGCTAGACTTAGTCAAACAACTAGAACCTGCCTCCAAAAACACAAAAATAAGAAAAAAATAGTTTTAGAGTATCTCTCAATATAAAGGTCATACATATCTGACGGTCATTCAAGAACAGTATAGCTTAGTTTTCCATCTACTTATTCTTCAACATTCTTTTGAATAAAAACTTGCTTTAAAGCTGTGTTAATTCATAATTAACAACCACAACAATGTTGTTTGTTTTTTATTCTTTACTCTTTTTGCTTTTGGGGGGCACCACCCAGTTCCCAAATAAACCATACACAGAAGCTTATTCTTATTTATGAATGCTGGTCTTAGATTGGCTTGTTTCTGGCCAGCTTGTCTTTTTTAAAAAAAAGATTTATTTATTTATTATGTATATGATATACATTATTTATTTATTTATTATGTATACAATGTTCTGCCTGCATATAAGCCTGCATGCCAGAAGAGGGCACTAGATCTCATTACAGATGGTTGTGAGTCATCATGTGGTTGCTGGGAAATTTAACTCAGAACCTCTGGAAGAACAGCCAGTGCTCTTAACCACTGAACCATCTCTCCAGCCTAGCTTCTTATCTTAAATTAATCTGTCTAATGAATCAGGGAGTGCCAGCATACAATCCCACTGCCAGAGAGTCTGGGAAAAAGAACCTTCATCCAGTGACTGATGGAAGCAGAGGCAGACACTCACAGCTAAACACTGAACTGAACTCCTGGAATCCAGTGACAGAAAGGGAGGACTGATGAACAAAAGGATCAAGACTAGACTGGTTTAACCCACAAAAACAGCTGACCTGAACAGGGGGAGCTCTTGGACCCCAGACTGATAGCTGGGAGGACAGCATGGGACCCTGAATGTGGGTGTCAGTGAGGAGGCCTAGGCAATCTATAGAACCTTGGGTAGTATTTATCCCTGACATACAAATGGACCTTGGATGCCCATCCCACAATGAGGGATGCTCTCTCAGCCTGAACTCTTGGGGGAAGGCCTAGGCTTTGCCCTGGATGAAATGACAGACTCTGGAGGTCCCCCAATGGAGGGCCTCACCCTCCCTGGGGATCAGAGTGGGGATTGGGAGGGGTGCTAGGGGTCCTGGTGGGGAGGGCAGGGGAGGAGGGGAGGGAGAGGGAGCTGGGATTTACATGTGAAGCAAGCTTATTTGTGATTTAAATTTAAAAATTCCCCCCAAAATTAACCTGTCTACCTTTTGCCTCTGGACTTGTATCTTTCTCTATTTCTGGATACCTTACTTCTTACTCCGTAGCTGACTGGGTGGCTAGGTGGCTGGCCTCTGATGTCCTCTTCTCCTTGTTCTCTTGCTGTTCCTTTCTTTTCTTCCTTGTTTCTCCTTCTATTTACACTCTCTGCCTGGCAGTCCTGCCTATCCTCATTCCTGTCTCGCTATTGGCAGTTCAGCTCTTTGTGAGACCATTGGGTATTTTAGACAAGCAAAGAATCACAGCTTCACTGAGTTAAACAAATGCAGCATAAACAAAAGTCACATTCCTTAAAATAATATTCTACCACACAACAAACTATTTTAGGGCCTTATGCAAGCAAAATGTGCCTTTTTTTCTTTTTATCAAGGTGATTGAGGTAAGTAGCCAAGCCGGGGAATATACAGGAATCAGGCTTAGTCTTTTTTGCTCTGATATTATAGTGCTTGCATCTAGACAAGAAGGGAGATAGCTGTTTTCCCTGTTCAGGCTTTATTTAGGAAGGAAAAGCCCATGCAGAACCTAGTGCCTACATTTCATAAGCCTGACAGGATCACCTGACCTTCTCTAGCTGCAAAAGATTCTGAAAAGGTAAGGAAATTTCTAGCCATTAAAGTAGAGGAAAACAAAGAAAAACAGTGTAGCCAATCAACAGCACCTGCCATGATGGTTTCGTGTGTGTGTGTGTGTGTGTGTGTGTGTGTGTGTGTGTGTGTAACTTCTATTGCATCTGTCCTCTGCAGCTTGCTGATTTCATACTAACATATTGAAATCATGAAGACAAAGTACTCTCTAAATTATAAAATGCTTTACAGTCATATTGAAATGATTATTGGGATTTTCAACTTTCATGAAAATTTAAGACTTTATTTTTACTTTTATTCTGTACTTCATATAGTAGAACTCAATTCTCTCAGCTAATGAACACAAAGGGTTTTTCCCTTTTGTATTCTTTCATAGTAATTATTGTGACTTCCTGTTTCACATTGAGTGCATATTTTTCTTTTTCTATAGAGGTTCTGCTGTTCTTAGATTTATCTCTTTGTGTCTGAGTAGGAACTGCACCTGAATTATAGAAAAGAGAAAACTGTCAATTCACCGGCTGGCTATGTATTCCTCTTTCCTTTTATAAGGCACATTTCGTCCTAACTCTGGTTTATTGGGTTGAGTAGATACATCCTGGAAGCTACCCACGCCAATCACGTACACCCTGATTACTAATTATGAGCCTTAGGATACTATACGACTCACTAATGAGTACATTTTAATGCTGGCCAGTGCTAATTAGATGATAATCATGTGCATTATTTTATTTACAGTCTATCCACTTAAATTAATTGGGCATTTAATTGAACACAGTTTGAAAGAAATTGCAATTGAGTTGAGTTGTTTATTGAAGTTCCTTTCACTTGTCATCTCATATGCAGGTGAGATTATTCACTTGCTCTCGAAATTCAGAAAAATACAAATGAACATAATGCCTATTTTGCAATGGTGCCTGTGTGCATGCAAATTGCTCTCAAAGTATGCTAGGAAACAGCGATGAATTTCTCAGTTCTCTTAAAATTCTCTACTGACATCTTTCTGTGGCCTGATTACAGAGAGATTTGCATGCACAAGAAATATATAATCAACCAAACCCTTAGGTAAATGAATGAGATTAAATCCAAAGCCAGCCCTGTGAGAATGTTCTGATCATTTCTTCTTTTTAAAAAGGGTAGAAAACTTTTAAAATGGCATGTATTTATTTAGTGTGTATATGCACCTGTCTCTGTGTTTATGCGCATACACATATAAATGAATGCCTTTGTGTACACATGCATGCACCACACCATGTGTATGGAGGTCAAAGGATAACTTGTAGAAGTTTATTATGGTTATCTTCTTCCACTATGTGGGACCTGAAGATCAAATTCAAGTCATAAGTTTGTCAGCAAGTGTCTTCACCCACTGAGCCATCTCACAAACCCACTGACATTTCCTAAGATAGAAAACTAAAGTTTTAACACTTGACTAATATATGGCAAAATACTCTTAATTTGGATCCCATGTATTTTCCTGTACTAGGACACAATATCAATATTCCAGGCATTCCATTTCTAAATGAGTACCCCATTGCCGAAAGCTGCATGTTTGCCTGAAGCTCTGAATTCATGGTGTCTTTGTTCCACATGCTCAAAGATGCTTTGTTCCACATGCTCAAAGAGCAGACGCAGAGCAACTGGAGTTGGGAGAGCTTCGGACAAAAGAATCCGGAGGTCCATTGTGTCAATGAGGCTGCTACTGCTGTGATAAACGCCACAACCAGAATCAGCTTGTCCAGCCGGCCCTTTCCCCTCAAACCAGTTACTTAGAATCACTTTATTTAACGGGGCAACTTTTATTCATTCCTCTTGCACACTCCCCAGATGTCTTTCTAGGAAACAGGCAACCTCCCAGAAACAGCCCATCCTCGCCCTCTGCAAACCCGACAAGTGAGTTGTAGTCTTCCTCGCTCAAGAGTTGAGAATAAGTGTGTGTTTGCTACAGAGCTTAGTTCCTTCCTAGCAGTCAATTATTCTGAAACTTACTTGCCCCCAGAGGCATTCCTCCACCCTCTGCATCCCCAGCCTGGGACTTCCAGCAATTCTGAACTTCCGGGTTAACCCGCTAGCCCTTCTTTGCAGTTATTTACCAGGAAATACCAAAGGACAAATAACAACAGCAACAATAATTGTACATTTCAAAATATCACAGCTCAGTCTCTTCTGTAGGCAGGGAGTCATTCGGTGGGCATGGGACGATGAAGTTATAAGCAGGATGGACTTGAGAGTAAGATGGAAGAGGGGGAGATGATGCGATGACAGTATGGTCCATGGGAACCAGGTCCTCATCTGTCCTATTACTTAACTTTTCATTTTTCTATCATGAGCTGTTTTTTGGATATTTAGTGTGTGTGTATATTTTCTGCATATTTAGCATGCATGTATGTATAATGTATGCATGTGTGTGTGTGTGTGTACATGCATGTGAGTATGGATGCATGTGCATGCATGTGTGTGGTCATTTCCATAAACCCTTATTTTTATTTGAATAGACAGAACTGTCTTGTCTCATCTCAGTGTTTTCCCAATCTTGGCTTTTGTCTGTTACCTGCCATTTGCTCTGTTGAAGCTGCTTAACTTCACTTGGTCCTAGCCCGTCTGTTTCCTCCCAAGAGAGACACTGGACAACAAGAGAAGAGCAAACTCAGTGGATGCATGTTGTTGGGCTTCATGGTAGGGTGGTGTGTGGACAGGAAATTTTCCTTGCTATCTCCCTAGCATCAGACCACAGATCTTTCATTTTTGTACTGAAGAGTTGCTCCAGCCAGAGAGTCATTCTTTGATCCTCTGCCAGACAGGCAGCTGCGAGATTGTCTGTTCATCTGTAGTCTTAGACCCAGCCCCTCATTGCTTGTGCATGACTCTCCCCTTCAGCTGTAGTTTATGTCCCTACACTCAAGCCTGCCTGTGGGCAAGGGAAGCAGTAGCTGGTGTTGTTCTGGTACTGAACAAGGGCTGCCAGCCTGCTGCAGGAATGGGCTGTGCACCCACAAAACTTACACAGATTTTCAAGCCATTCTTCTAACTTTGGGCTCATCTGTCCCTCCACCCCCTCCTTCCAGAAGGACCCTGAGACTTTTGTATCCTAGCCTTCCAGGGGATCTGTAGTAGGAAATGTGCCTACAGGCTTTGCCCGGCTAATAGATTACGTGCCAATTTTCTCTGGTCTTTGAAATCCATTGTCACAAATTCAGCTCACACATTTTTTTCCTGGCATCATTTTGAAGTTTTCTCTATTCCTGAGGCTGCATGCTTTCTTTGATACCATAAGAAGTGGTATTAGTGGTATTCTGAAGAAAATGACAAAAGTGGATGTTTTTCTGTGATGTTTAACTGGGTCATTCTGTAACGACTTCAGAAGTGATGCGTTTCCATTGTGTGACTAGGATTTCATAGGAATGAGGGTCATCAGGTGATACAAGGGCAGGGAATGAAGTCCTGGCAGAGAGTCCCTGCTCCACAATGGCAGATCCAGCCGTAGTGCATGGTGACAGCAACACCCTGAGTCTTCCGTCTAAGTCAGTGCATTCAACTGGTGGCCTCTACTATTCCTTAGTTCACCTTTGCCTTCCCCAAGCCTGAGAGACTCCAGAACGTGAAAGCACTCCTTTCTCTGCTCACAGGATTAGAAGTAAATGAATTTGATTCCATATAGAAAACAAACAAAACTTAATCAAGAAATACCAGTAGCCTTGAGTCCTTTGTTCTTGACCTTCATCTGGCTCCAACAACAGCCAAGTGCGGATTACACAGCAGGCTTAGTGTACAAGGAGCTTTCACATGTACAAGAGATAGTTCTCTGTCCCAAAGGAGGACTCCATGCCCTCTAAGTAAGTCCTAGATGATGGCAGCGATCAGCTCCCACCCAGAGCAGCACCGGGTAGTAGGTAAGCAGCTGCCAGACCTTTCTACACAGACATTTCAAAATGAATTGTTACTGAAGGTCACTCAAAGTTAGCTTGGACCCCAGTGGGTGACTATGTTTGTAAAACACTAATGAGTCTCTGTATAGCTACAACAACCTGCAGAGCTCTTGGACTTTGCGCTGTTATCTGTGTGTGAAGGTCTTGAGTTGGGTCAACTGAGGGGAGCTCCAGTGCTGACCAGCTTGTAGTACGCTCCCTTCTGGGCCATCAGTTCTTCATGGGTCCCCCTTTCAATCACCACCCCTTGTGACATGACAGCGATGATATCTGAGTTCTGGATGGTAGACAGGCGATGGGCAATGACAATACAGGTCCGACCCTCTCTGGCTTTGTCCAGAGCAATCTGCACAGTCTGCAAAAAGAAGATGGAGAGTCAATGAAAAGATGCAGGATTGTTCCCAGCCCACTACTCTGAGGGTCCATTCAAATAGCACCTGAGCAACAGCTCTGTGCTTAGGGGTAACCCCAAAGACTGAGCACTTAAGGAGATTCAGCAAATGGCTGCGCACACAATCCAGTTATGCTTTATTTAAATAGCAGCCCACACACTGAGAAAGTTCAGTGATGCAAGAATGAGCTAAATACAACGTGACTGTGTAATTTCACAATACTGAATTGTCCAATTTACTAAGGTAGAACCAAAGGGCAAAGCATGGGAACAGTCAGTGGTTTCTGATACTCCCTTCACTGAGTACATGTTAGTTTGCTTGAAGATGGAATCCTGATTTTAAAGATGTAGATCATAAACTGAATTTCATAGTAGTTCTCTTGACTACATAATCTCATGTGGAAATGCCACATGGCTCACATCTCCTTTTAGGTGTTGCATATGGCCTGCTTACTCTATTACATAATTTCAAAGCTATAAAACATATTATGTTTCATGAATGACCTGAATTGTTTTAATTTATATAAGAAAACTAATTACTTGCCTTTGAAAAATGGCATTTAATGTAAAATGTCTTATATAACAACTATTTTAAAGTTCTTCTTAGTGGCAGCAGCCCTGCTTGACTGTTATTTGTAGACTACTGTCTTTTGCTCCCAAAGAAAAATATTGTCAGTTTCCACTTCAAATGAATAAGACAGCCGAAAATAGTGTCATTTTTATATGCACAAATCTTCCAACAAAGACTCGTCTCTAGTAACCTAGGAGTTTAGAAAACTAACACGTACCTTTTCACTTTCTGTGTCTAGGGCAGATGTGGCTTCATCGAGTAGCAAGATTTTAGGATCACGTACAATGGCCCGGGCAATAGCAATGCGCTGTTTCTCCCCTCGAGAGAGTTGAGAGCCCTGGCTCCCAACATTAGTTTCATATTTCTAGAAAAAAAATAGCAAGTTTAAAAACTAGAGAACACAGCCATTGCTTCTGTGCTGTTTGGAGCCCGCAATAAAAACTCTGCTGTGAGCTTAAATGTTTTTCTTCTCTTGAACTTAGAAACAGTGACTGAATGCAATAAAATCTATCAAATCTGCTTAGAACTATTAAATATATGAAGTTTGGGCTGGAAAATGGGGGGCAATTACCATCTCTACATTTCTTTAAGGGTTATACTCTTTTTTGATCCCTTCCTATGTCCAGCTAAGATTCCATGTAGCAAATCTTCCTTGGTTTGAGATTCTCTGATTTTTAGACTTTCATCCAAAGATCTTTGCAAGATAGTCTAATCCCAGGGATAGAGAAGCCCTTAAAGGCTTTCTGGTTGACTCCTTCCATTGAGAGAACATTTTGGGACACAAGCCTTGGTTATGCTCTGTTGCTTACTAGCCTTGTGAACATCAACAACTTGTTTAAATGTCGTTGAGCCACAAACTTACCTGTAAAAGGCAATGTTAGTATCTAGCACACATATTTGCTGTTAATTCTTTATGAAATTAGAAAAAATATCTGGCTAGATGCCCAGTACAGCTACATTTAAAATAGTTAACATTCATGGAAAGCCGGGCAGTGGTGGCACACGCCTTTAATCCCAGCACTCAGGAGGCAGAGGCAGGCGGATCTTTGTGCGTTCGAGGCCAGGCTGGAACGACAGCCTCCGAAACAATACAGAGAAACCCTGTCTCGTAAAAACCAAAAAAAAAAAAAAAAAAAAAACATTCATGGAGAATTTAGTTTGCACTGGAGACGGTGTGGTTGTTGTTGCTGCTGCTGCTCCTCCTCCTCCTCCTCCTCTTATTCCTCCTCCTCTTCCTCTTCATCTTCCTCCTCTTCCTCCTCCTCTTCCTCTTCCTCCTTCTCCTCTTTCTCCTCCTCTTCCTCTTCCTCCTTCTCCTCTTTCTCCTCCTCTTCCTTCTCCTCCTCCTCCTTTCTCCTTCTCTTCCTCTTCCTTTTTTCTTCCTCTTCTTCCTCTTCCTCCTCCTCTTCCTTTTCCTCCTCCTCTTCCTCCTTCTCCTCCTCTTTCTCCTTCTCTTCCTCTTCCTTTTTTCTTCCTCTTCTTCCTCTTACTCATCTGCATCCTCTCCCTCATCTTCCTTTTCTTTCTCTTCCCCCTCTTCCTCCTCCTGCTCATCCTCTTCTTCTTTGAGAGGGTGACAAGGTCTCACTATATAGCCCTGGCTGTCCTGACACTCTCTACATAGAATAGGAAGGCTTCAAACCAACAAACTCCTGTCCCTGCCACCCCAAGTTCTGGGATTAAAGTTGTGCACACCACATCTAGCTGATTATTCTGAATAGAGTACCATTTCATAACCTCAGAGATTATATTTTTTGATTTTATACATTATGAAACTGAGGCCCAGAGAAGCAAGACAATTGCACATAGGCAGATAAGCAGTAAACAGCAAATGTGAAGTTAAGTCTTCGCCTATATAGTTTCTGATCCTCTGTCCTTGTCCCTTACTCAAACCTGCCTGCTTGTGTTTCCCTCCCTTGCCTCCTGAAAAAGTTCAGCTAAGCCAGGAAAGACCCAAGAAAAATTGTTATTAATTCTTGGATTTCATAGGCACAGTACATTTTGTTATCACACTGTAACATGTCTACAAGTACTTTTAATATAAAAACACTGCTTTAATAAATTTTAAAAAATCTTTGCTTTTAGGCACACTAGCAAACACAAGTATTCATAATGTTTCTTTGCTTTTCAATTTAGGAATTTCAATATGCTTGCCTGTTAGGCTGCCCAGCTTAGAAGGACATGATCCTAGGACTGAGGGAAACCATTAAGAGAGCAAGCAAAGAAAGAAGCACACCACAAGTAGACAGTTTACAAATGTTACAGTCTAAGAAAAAAAGCAATTTCCAAGTGGTATTGTAAAAACTGGAGTAGAGAAGGATGCAGCCTATAACATGTTTTACATTTTCCTGTATTTGTTTCTTGTAACTAAACAATTTTCTTCTAATTAAACAAATATTTCTTGTAATTAAATAATCACTAAGAAAGATACCTGGTGAATGGAAAAATGAATAGTACAGACCACCAAACTCAGACTTGACTCTGGAGAAATAAAAGGCATCAAAACAGAAGCAACTTAACCCTCCACACACAAGCTGCGAGTAACGGATTGCCATCAATTGCTGCTGCAGCTTTCTTTGCACGGCTGACTTTTGAACCCAGGGTCTCATGCGTGAGCTCTAGCAGTAACCTATTACTCTAACCTTTGACCTCTATGCCCCCATTTCAATGTTTTGGAGTTTCCTTGCATTTTGCAGATGGGATAGACAGTATCAGATTGAATAGGTAGGCATCCCAAAATTTCACACTCAGGTAATAAACGAGAAAGCTTGCATTCAAACCCATGTTAAACCTCTGGATTTCTTTCTGCCAGGTTGTGTTATGCTCTATGGGTATTGTTTTATATGCAGCAATACTACAGCATCCATTTTGTTTGACACTGGAATACTTTCTAACATGTGGTGATACAGGGCATTTGCTTTCCTTAAAACAAAATAAAAAACAAAACAAGACACTGGTAAATAAATAGTGTTGCCCTTGAACCTCTACCCGAGCCACAATCCTGCTACTTTCTGGACATCCTGCCTCTCCGCAGCACTGTGTTCCTGTACAGAACAACAGACGTGGTGCTTACCTGGGGGAGAGACATGACAAAGTCATGCAGCTGAGCCTGCTTTGAGGCAGCTATGATTCTTTCCATAGAGATTTCTTTGGTGTTGTCCCCATACTTGATGTTGTCCATTATGCTGCAGTCAAACAGCACCGGCTCCTGGGAAACGATTCCAATGTGTGAACGGAGGAACTGCACATTGACTTTTTTGCTGTCATGACCATCTATCATCTGCCAAAAGAGTGGACAGCAAAGGACAAGAAGTGTTAGTGTGCCAGCGGTGAGGGAAGTTCCTATGGCGGAGTTAGGTGCTGGACGGTGAATTTGTTCTGCTTAAGAGTGAACATCCCTACAGACCTGGGGGAATAAACCTCACTGCCTGTGGCCTCTGGAGCTTGTTTCTGACAGGAACGCCTTCCAAGTGGACACTGATTGCTCTCTTTTGATGTCGTTTTCCTCAAGCTCTAGCTCCACAGGTATTATACAAATGAGAAAGGATCTCAGGACAGTATTTAGTTAAAAAAAAGCTCTCCTTATGGTCTGGGCATAGCCTTGTCTCTTCAGATATGCATACTTGTTGAATTCTGAGGGTTTGTGACTCTGCTAAAGGAGAGAGAGAGGGTAGGGGATGGGGTCAGGGAGAGAGACAGACAGATGCTATTAGATGCCATGAAGACCAAACCTGTGTCCTTGGCTTTATTGACATTAATCTCTGGACAGATGAGCTAATAAGTCCAGGGGAAAATGTAATTGTTCATTTAGTCACCATCACAATCGGAATCATCTCCAGAAGGCATCATGTAAACAGTCTGTGTACAGCATGAGAACGCAGTGTCTGTTTCCTGGGAGCTCACAGTCCAGAGGTTGTGCTATTTAAGTTGGTTCACTTAAGATTCTGAAGATTCTACTCTAAAGGCAGAGTAAATCTAACAGATTAATGGTAAGTATTTGACAGTGTGATTTCAGAAGAAAAAATAGATTGTTTCAAATAATGTGAGCAGGATGTATTTTAGATAATTCCTATGCAATGGAAAAGGCAAACACTTTTTAAAAAGAAAAAAGGTAAGGACAACAGCCCTTAGGACAGCAGCTCTCAATAAGACTCAGTCCTTACTCAACCTGAGGCGTTTCCCACAGTACATATTCCTGTAAAGCACAACTTAACATTTAGTCAGAAATTGAGCTTTTTGCTAATTGCCATTTATGTGCTATATTATAACCATATAGGAAACAGAAGACATGTTCCATGTTGCTGAAGAATCTCCCATAGACAGTACTGGGCATATCATAGATGCCTAATTAAATATTGAGCATACGGTACCTATGTTTGGTAGCTTGTCTAAAAGCAAAGAGGATTATTTTTAATGGATTAAAGCAGTATTTTCCTACTTACAGTGTTCACAGATACATTTTACAATGAGCTTACAAAATGTATTGTACCTCTTAAGTGTAAGAAATCATAAAATGATTGCTTCTTCCAGAGACCAGAGAATTCAGTGTGTGTAAAAGGGAAACATACTTAGTATACATGTTAATGCTGAATTCAGGCTGCAGCAGTTCACATCTACCTGGACAACAGGCATAGCAGAGCTGACATTTTGGAAAACGGAGCCCTTTCCCTTCTAGAGATCAGATCTCTAGGGCAATGCACTTTCTAGGTTTGTCAGTCACCAAATACTTGCAAATCAGTTAAAATCTTTAATCTAAAACCAATAACAGCAAGGGTCATGAAGCATAGGCAATCAATTCCTACTCCTTATTTTTATACCTCCTGGATTCTGCTAATATCTACTGGCTTCTTTTCTTTGTTCTATGCAAGAGAACCTCACCTCTCTCTCGGTATTTCTCTTCAAAACCTTACCTCTCCCCATTGCAGTGAAGATTACACTATTCAGGAAGATCAGAAGGAGCATTTTTAAAAGTACTGGGGTATGTTTGGGAAAAATAAATAGAGCAGCAGGGATTCTAATTTAGTTAAATCATGAAAACAGAAACTGGAGCATTTAGAGACACAGAAGTAATAATTACTGGGAAAACACAAAACATGGAGTGGTGAAGGAAGCTGTCTTTGAGCAAAGAAACACAGAGGGATGTTATTTTTTATTAAAAAAATCTTTGAGTGCTTCCCATCCCAGCGGGAGCCAAGCACCCCAGATCCCAGGTCTTCTCCTCTACCAACAGGACCAGGGGACCAGGTGGGAGACTATGATCCCCGGATTCCTGGGCTTCTTCTCCACCCATGGGACCAGGACTAGGATCAGAAATAGAAAGAACTGCCAGAGTGTTGAACTTGCTTGTACCCACTGAAACGGAACTCTGGTCCCCTAACCACCAGACAAGTAAGGGGCTCTTTCTGCACCAACTAGAAGAAGAGATGGGAAAGAACAAAACAAAATCATGCTCAGCAACAGAAAAACAAATATGTCACCGCCAAATTCTAGAGACTCCACACCAGCAAGACTTCAACATTCTAATGCAAATGACACAGAAGAGAATGACCTTAAAAACAACTTCATGAAAATGATAGAGGCCCTAAAAGAGGGTATAGGAAAATCCCTCAAAGAAATGGAAGAAAAAAAACCAAAAAATGCAAGAAATGGAAGAAAAAAAACCCAAAAAATGCAAGAAATGGAAGAAAAAACAAACCAAAAAATACAAGAAATGGAAGAAAAAACAAACCAAAAAATTCATAAAATGCAACAAATGGACGAAAAGACAAAGCAAAAATTGCAAGAAACAATTCAAACAGTGCCAGGGTTGAAAACTGAAATATAAACAATAAAAAAAAACACACTCTGAAGGAAAACTGGAAATAGAAAAGCTGGGCAAATGGCCAGGTACTACAGATATAAGCATAACCAACAGAATACAAGAGTGGAAGAGAGAATCTCAGGTGTTGAAGATACACTAGGAGAAATTAATTCATCAACCAAAGAAAATCTTAAGTCCAACAAATTCCTAACACAAAACATCCAGGAAATATGGGACACCATGAAAAACTAAACCTAAGAATAATAGGTATAGAAGAAGGTGAAGAAAACCACCTCAAAGGGGCAGGAAACATGTTCAACAAAATCATAGAAGAAAACTTCCCCAACCTAAAGAAAGACATGCCAATGAAGGTACAAGAAGCATACAGAAAACCAAATAGAGTGGACCACAAAAAAAAGTCCCCTCGCCACATAATAATCAAGACCCTCAAATATACAGAATAAAGAAAGAATATTAAGAGCAGCTAAGGAAAAAGGCCAAGTAACATATAAAGGCAAACCTACCAGAATTACACCTGACTTCTCCATGGAAACTCTGAAAGCCAGAAGGTCCTGGGTAGATATTCTACCAACACTAAGAGACCATGAATGCCAGCCCAGACTACTTTACCCAGCAAAGCTCTCAATCACTATAGATGGAGAAAACAAGATATTCCATGACAAAACTAGATTCGAGCAATATATATCCACTAACCCAGCCATACAGAAAATTCTGGAAGGAAAACTCTAACCCAAGGAAGTTAACTACAACCAGAAAAACATAGGCATTAGATAATCCCATTTTACCAACAGCCAAAAGAACAAAGGGGTGGAATTCCACACATAATTCCACCAACAACAACCATTCCAAATCAAAGAAGAATGAGCAATCAATGGTCATTAATATCCCTCAATATTAATGGCCTTAACTCACCCATAAAAAGACACGGGCTAACAGAATGGATTCGAAGACAGAATCCATGCTTCTGCTGCATACAAGAAACACACCTCACCCTCAAAGGCAGACATTACCTCAGAGTTAAAGGTTTGGAAAAGATTTTCCAATCAAATGGAACCAAGAAACAAACTGGGGTAGCAATCCTAATATCTAACAAATTAGACTTTAAAATAAAATCAATCAAAAGAGATGAAGGAAGTCATTACATACTCATCACAGGAGAAATCCACCAAGATGAAGTTTCAATTCTGAACATCTATGCCCCAAATACAAAGCTATCCACGTTCGTAAAAGAAACATTACTAAAATTCAAATCACACATAAAACCTCACACACTTATAGTGGGAGAGTTCAACACCCCATTCTCACCACTAAACATGAATACCAGGCAGAAACTTAACAAAGAAGCAAAGGGTCTAATAGAAGTTATGACCCAACTGGGATTAACAGACATCTATAGAACATTCCATCTACATAAAAAAGAATATACCTTCTTCTCACCACCACATGGAACCTTCTCAAAAATCGACCACATACTTAGCAACATATCAAACCTCAGCAGGTACAAAAAAATTGGAATAACTCCATGCATCTTATCAGACCACCATGCGTTAAAATTAGAATTCAACAACAACACAAATTGCAGAAACCCTACAAACTCATGGAAATTGAATAATGCACAACTGCATCATTCCTAGGTCAAAGAAGAAATTAAAGACTTCCTAGAATTCAATGAGAATGAAGATACAACATACCCAAACCTATGGGACACTTCAAAAGCAGTACTACGAGGGAAGTTCATAGCACTAAGTGCCCACATGAAGAAACTGGAGAATAGTTATACTGGAGAATTAACAACATGGCTGAAAGCTCTAGAACACGAAGCAAACTCACCCATGAGGAGTAGTGCCAGGAAATAATCAAACTGAGGGCTGAAATCAATAAAGTAGAAACTAGGAAAACAATACAAAGAATCAATGCAACCAAGAGTTGGTTCTTTGAGAAAATCAACAAGATAGACAAACCTTTGTCCAAACTTACCAAAGAGCAGAGTGTGAACATGAAAATTAACAAAATCAGAAATGAAAAGGGGGACATAGCAACGGACTCTGAGGAAATTCGGAGAATCATCAGGTCATAGTTTGAAAACCTGTACTCCACAAAGTTTGAAAATTTAAAGGAAATGGACAATTTTCTGAGTAGCTATCACTTGCCAAAATTAAATCAAGAACGGATAAGCAATTTAAATAGACCTATAACCCCTATGGAAATAGAAGCAGTCATCAAAAGTCTCCCAACCAAAAAAAGCCCAGGTCCAGATGGCTTCAGTGCAGAATTCTACCAGAAATTCAAAGAGCAGCTTATACCAATTCTTCTCAAAGTATTCCATGAAATAGAAGCAGAAGGGTCTTTGCCAAACTCTTTCTACGAGGCTTCAATAATCTTGATCCCAAGCCACACAAAGACACAGCTAAGAAAGAGAGAGAACTTCAGACCAATATCCCTCATGAACACTGATGCAAAAATACTGGCAAATCGGATCCAAGAACACATCAAAACAATCATTCACCACGATCAAGTAGGTTTCATCCCAGGGATTCAGGGATGGTTCAACATAGAAAAATCCATCAATGTAATCCACCATATAAACAAGCTGAAAAACAAAAATCACATGATCATCTCACTAGATGCAGAAAAAGCCTTTGACAAAATCCAACACCCCTTCATGATAAAGGTCTTGGAGAGATCTGGGATAACAGGAACATACCTAAACATAATAAAAGCTATATATAGCAAACCAACTGCCAGCATCAAACTAAATGGACAGAAACTCAATGCGATTCTGCTAAAATCAGGAACAAGACAAGGCTGTCTACTCTCTCCATACCTTTTCAATATGGTACTTGAAGTTCTAGCTAGAGCCATACGACAGCAAAAGGAGATGAAAGGGGTACAAATTGGAAAGGAAGAGGTCAAACTTTCACTGTTTGCAGATGATATGATAGTTTACATCAATGACCCAAAGAACTCTTCCAGGGAACTCTTACAGCTGATTAACACCTTCAGCAAAGAGGCAGGCTACAAGATCAACTCAAGAAAATCAGTAGCCCTACTATATACAGACGATAAAAGGTCTGAGAAAGAAATCAGAGAAATATCACCCTTTACAATTGCCACAAACAACATAAAATACCTTGGGGTAACGCTAATCAAACAAGTGAAAGACTTGTATCACAAGAACTTTGAGTCTTTAAAGACAGAAATTAAAGAAGCCCTCAGAAAATGGAAAGAGCTCCCATGCTCTTGGATAGGTAGGATCAATGTAGTAAAACTGACAACCCTGCCAAAAGCAATCTACAGATTCAATGCAATCCCCATTAAAATCCCAGCACGATTCTTCACAGACCTTGAAAGAACAATAATCAATTTTGTATGGAAAAACAAAAGACCCCGGATAGCCAAAACAACTGTACTCAACAAAGCAACATCTGGAGGCATTATCATCCCTGACTTCAAGCTCTATTATAGAGCTGTAGTCCTGAAAACAGTTTGGTATTGGCACAAAAATTGACAGGTAGACCAATGGAATCGAATTGAGTATCCTTATATTAACCCACACATGTATGAACATCTGATCTTTGACAAAGAAGCTAAAAGTATACAAAAGAAAGCATCTTTAACAAATGGTGCTGGCATAACTGGATGCTGGCATGTAGAAGAATGCAGATAGACACATGTCTATCGCCATGTACAAAACTTAAGACCAAATGGATCAAAGACCTCAACATAAATCTTAGAAGAGAAAGTGGGTGGTACCCTTGAACGAATTGGTACAGGAGACAGCTTCCTGAACATAACACCAGTAGCACAGACACTGAGATGGACAATTAATAAATGGGACCGCCTGAAACTGACAAGCTTCTGTAAGGCAAAGGACACAGTCAGCAAGACAAAAAGGCAGCCCACAGAATGGGAAAAGATATTCACTAACCAAAATTTACAAAGAACTCAAGAAGCAAGTCTCCAAAACACCAAAGGATCCAATTAAAAAGTGGGCTACAGAACTAAATAGAGAATTCTCAATAAAGGAGTCTAAAATGGCTGAGAGGCACCTGAGAAAGTGCTCAACATCCTTAGCCATCAGGGAAATGCAAATCAAAACAACTCTGAGATACCATCTCACTCCTGTCAGAATGGCTAAAATCAAAAACATCAAGGACAATTTATGCTGGAGAGGATGTGGTGAAAGGGGAACACTCCTCCACTGCTGGTGGGAGTGCCAACTCGTACAGCCACTTTGGAAATCAGTATGGAGATTCCTCAGAAAAATGGGAATAAACCTACCACAAGACCCAGCAACTCCACTCTTAGGCATATATCCATAAGATTCACATTCATACAACAACGACATCTGTTCCACTATGTTCATAGCAGCATTATTTGTAATAGCCAGAACCTGGAAGCAACCTAGATGCCCCTCAACCGAAGAGTGGATAGAGAAAATGTGGTATATTTACACAATGGAGTACTATTCAGGAGAAAAAAAACAATGGAATCCTGAATTTTGCAGGCAAATGGATGGCACTAGAAGAAACCATCCTGAGTGAGGTAACCCAGAGACAAAAAGAGAAACATGGCATGTACTCTCTCATATATGGATTTTAGACATAGATCTGGGGAGTGCCAGCCTACAATCCCATGACCAGAGAGTCTGGGAAACAGAACCTTCATTCAATGGCTGATGGAAGCAGAGGCAGACTCCCACAGCTAACCACTGAGCTGAACTCAAGGAACCCAATGACAGACAGGGACCTGACAAGGGTTACCTCTCGAATCCCAGACTGATGGCTGGGAATCCAGCATGGGACTGATCAAGACCCCCTGAATGTGGGTGTCAGTGAGGAGGCCTAGGTAATCTATTGAGCCTTGGGTAGTAGATCAGTATTTATCCCGGGTATACAAATGGACTTTGAGCATCCATCCAACAATGAGAGATTTACTCTCACCCTGGACTCCCAGGGGAGGGTCTAGACCCTGCCCTGGATGAAATGACAGACTATGGACACCCCCATGGAGGGCTTCACTCTCCCTGGGGAAATGAGGGGATATTGGAGGTGTTGGTGGGAGGATGTGGGTGGAGGAGAGGGACCTGGAAGCAACCTTGTTTCTAATTTAAATTTAAAAATAAAAATTAAAAAAATCTTTCTTATTTGATTGTATAGTCTGAATGCTGCCTGAGAAGAAGGCGCGGGGAGTAAGAAGTACTTAGAAGAACCAGCAGTAAAGCTGTTCACCAATAACTCAACTATCCTTGGCAGAATTTTATCACTGTGGGCTTATCTATTAGGTAGGCTGAAACGTCTTGGATCAGAGTGTCTCAAGTTTTTCATGCTTGCTCCCTTGTCTTGCTTACTTATCATTGTGTCCCTTGTCACCCTACTTTTTCCATCCCCAGCCATTAGTTTCCTGATTAGTCTGCACTTTCTGCCCCATTTACGGGTAAGTAAATGGCTCTCAAATGCACTCATCCCCAGCTTTGCAGTGTGTCCAGTTTTCTTTCCTAACTGGTCAGCGGGCCATCTGGAACTGGGAAGAATATGATATTAGAAGCTGTGGGGACAGAATCAGATCAACCAGCAAATGATGGAAACGAACACATCCACAGGGGCAAGGGTCTAAGACAAACACCTCAGTCTGGCAAGATTCAGCTTTGGAGACCACTTAGGGGCAGATCTTATACAGAAAGCGAAATTCTCGAAGGCATTTGCCCCACTTACCACCTTCCCCTGATCAGGGTCATAGAAGCGTTCCAACAGCTGAATGCTGGTGCTCTTGCCACACCCACTGCTTCCAACAAAAGCCAGTGTCTGCCCTGGATCCACAGACACCGAGAGACCGTTGAGAACTTGGATGTCAGGACGAGATGGATATGTAAATTTGCAGTCAACAAAATCAATCTTCCCTTGGAAGTTGTCCTGTGAATGAGAGGACTGGGATTACCTGTGCTCCTGCTGGAGCCTAGAACACGGGAAATGGACCTGAATGTACACAGTGGTATGAAATTATGCATTATGAAACAGCATCCCAATGGGTGACAGACATTCCAGTCAGGATAGAGGCACACAACAGTAATCCCAGAACTCAGGAAGTCGAGGCAGGTAGATAGTGAGTTCACTGGAGGCCAGCCTGGGCTACATAGGGAGATCTCTGCTTCAGAACAAGCAAGCAAGAGAATACCGCCACAAAGATGACATTTTCTTCCCAATGCTGGCAGGCGTAGCATAAAGAGTGACAAGGAAATTAAAGACATTTGACCTCTTAACCTCATTCTGAATTGAGGGTAGTTCCTTATCACCTATTCCTTTATAGTGAAGAGTGGAAGAGAATAGCAAAGTTGATGCACCAAGGAAGCCAGCAATTCTCTGAGTTGTTAAAACCTTGTTCTTCAAAATAATGAAATAAAAACGAAGTTTTTTTGGAGTCTGTGCCACAAAATTGGATATTTTAGTATGTTTCAAACTATTTGGTGGAAAACAATAGCCTTTTTCTGGCTATCATGACTAGTGCCACAGTTAACATGGATGCGAAAGTGTCTCTGTAAAGTGTTGATTTCAAGAATACACTCTAGAATGGAATAGCTGCATCATATGGTGGGTCTATTTTCAGTTTTTTTAAAGGGAATTCCATGCTGATTTCCATAGTGGCTGCACAAGTTCACATTCTTATCAGCAGTGAATTAGGGTCTTTCCCTCTATCCACACCAATACTTACTGTCATTTATTTTCTTGACCATGGTCATTCTGACTGGGCATATATGGTCTTTATTTGTTTTTCTCTGATAGCTAGGGATGTCAAATTTTTTTTCCAAGTGTATTTTGACATTTGTATGAGGACTGTTGATTCAACTCCTTAGCCCATTTATTGTTTGGGTAATTTAATTTTTACAGTTCTCTTTAGATTCCAAATATTAATATTTTGTATATTTGGGGTTTTTTTGCCTACTCCGTAGTTCCTTCACTCTGGGATTGTTTCATTTCATGCAGAAGCATTTTAATTTCACACAATTCCATTTTTCAGTTTTTGGATTACTTTGTAAGCCTAGATATCCATCAATAAATAACTTCATAAAGAATAGATGATAGATAGATAGATAGATAGATAGACAGATAGATAGACAGACAGACAGATAGACAGGCAGACAGACAGATAGATAGGAATTTGACATAGCCCTAAGATATGAAATCATGACATTTTCAGGAAAGTGGAGGAACTTTAAATCGCAGCCCAGTACTTACTTTCTTTTTACCTGCTCCACTAAGTACATTAATTGGAGGTACATGCATGCACACACACACGTGCAGCCCAGGACTTACCCATTTTTCACCTGCTCCACTAAGTACATTAATTGGAGGTACATGCATGCTCACACACAAACATACATGCACGCACGCACGCACGCACAGGCAGCCCAGGACTTACCCATTTTTCACCTGCTCCACTAAGTACATTAATTGGAGGTACATGCATGCTCACACACACACACACACACACACACACGCAGCCCAGGACTTACCCTCTTTTTACCTGCTCCACTAAGTACATTAATTGGAGGTACATGCATGCTCACACACACACACACACACACACACACACACACACACACATGCACGCACGCACAGGCAGCCCAGGACTTACCCATTTTTCCCCTGCTGCACTATATACATTAATTGGAGGTTTTCGGTCTAGCAGCTGAAAAAAGCGTGCAGCTGATATTTTAGCTTTGGCAAAACTTGGGGTGTAAGAGAAGGTTCTTCCAACGGCTGTTGCACTCAGCATAACTGAAGAGATCGACCTGCAATCAAACCCCCGGGGAGTGAGAGCTGGGCTGTGGATAGTGTGAAGGCCTAAGTGGCAAAAGCTTTAGGTGCTAGCCCCAAACAGCTTAAGCAAGTCACTTTAGACATGTCTGCTGTAAGAGGGTCCAGGGGGTAGGCTGAATGGGGTAGCCTCAGACCTCTAAAATCCTAGATCTGCCACATTAAAAACAATTTTGTGTGGGGGGATAGAGTGGTGGAGACTTTTGAAAATAATTATTTCAGTCAGGAATTTGAAAGATGACCAGACTGAGTTGGCTTTTCTTCCCATTGTAACATTCCAGGCATCACTGATGGGTGTGTAAAAGATAGTGGCAGTGGTAGGCAATGGAAGTACCTATTCTGTGCTGGGCCCCCATCGAAGCCATGCTTCCTATGGAATAAGGAAAATGCAATTGCCTGTATCCTTCGGTTTGACCCAGCTGCTGCTAACTATATCAACATGGCATCAGAGATGAATGAACAAATGACTAAATCCACTGAGAGACAACCATGCTGCCACCTGGCCCTTGATGGGCAGAGCATCCTGTGAGGTTGCCCATCAGCACCATCTTTCACAGAGGTCTTCGTGGAGGGAGATGATAGGTGGGTAGGGAGTGTGCAAGCATGTAACTTGCTGCTCAATGATTGTTTCAAGGCCAGGGCTGGGAACCCACATTCTCTAGGAGCCCAGGATAAGGCTTAAGTGAATGAAAGCTTTGGGGATGAGGTAGGAAATGCTGAAAGATGACGGTCCAGTTCTTAAAGCAAAACCACATATTGGAAGTTTTCTATAGGCTCTTGATTCTCACATGCTGGCCAATAAGTTGTTATATATTTTATATGAACTGACAGAAAGAGCTCAAGAGTTGTTGTTTCCTGGTCTGGGTTAGCAGCTTTAAATGTGCAAGGGTTTTGAGAAGAGACTTTCCTAGATGACATGGGGATACTGGGCTAACTGGAAAGCCCTGGAAGGAAGGTGTCAGGTAAGAGGATCATGCCTCAATGCCCCCCAAACTTAAGATTGTCTCTGCCCTCACTACCACCCTCATGTGCGCCATTAAGCCCTCCCCTCTGGAAGTAAGCAGTCCCTGCCTTGAAGAAGAGAGATACCCTTTTCTGGCCTGCACTATCTCTACTCAGAGGAAGTGACTAGAAATCAGTTGTCTTTGCAAGTTTCAAATACAAAAGCCCTTGAGCACATCTTGTTCTTGGCCTTGAAAGTCTCAGCTTTAACAAGTGTAAACATAATTACAACAATTCATCTTATGATTCATCTGCTTGTGATCATCTTTTTTTATTCCTCAGTCCAATTGTGGATTTCATTTCTCAAATCCTTGAACCTAGGCTTCATTGTGTCCGTTTCCTTTGCCAAAGAGACCTCAGTAAATGAAATACAGGGAGACTCGAACATGCTCGCAGTGTAGGATATGTTTCTTCTGTTAAATATGACCCTCTAAGATAATTCATGAAGGAAATGAGCTCATTTGCTACCAAGGCCTCCTGGAAACAGACATGCCACCAAGGCCTCCTGGAGACAGACATACCCACTGAAGTCTGTGAGGCAGCCAAGCCCAGAAGAAGTGTCTCATTCCATAGAACTTTGAAAAAGAACAAACGTGGCTGATTTTAGAAGAATGGTTTGCTGGGCAGCAAGGAAGTTAAGTGACAGATCCAGGCAACTCCCTCTGGAGTATCACTCTCATACAACCATTTTAGATATGCCTCACCTGAAAACATAGCTGAAATGTAGCCCTTCCTGGACAATTAAGTAACCTCCGTATCTGTAGCCAGAAGAACTCGCAAAAAATGATATGGCCTGGGAAAAGGCAAAGCAGAGTCCATAGACATTCGCCTTCCGAACAGCTGTGTGGTATGAGCTTTCTAGCTCAACTTCAAAGGCGTTAGTAAATCTCCTCTCCACACCCATTCCTGCAACCGTGCGGATGTTGCCAAGAGCTTCGCTGGTGATCTGAAAAGGAAAGAGTCTGAGGCATCAAAAAGTAGTAGGAGTATCTCTTTTTCTGACATTTCAGTCATTGTCACAAAAGGCAGAAAGTAGCACAGAGAAGTTGCTGGGAGTCAACTCAACTGAACCATGGGGCCATCTGTCATTTCAACTCACTCCCTACATAGTTCCAGCATGGCTTCTTTGCCTCCACTTACTGGGGGCAAAGACAGTGTGAGACAAAGTCTCCCATACTTGTCCTGGACAAGCTTCAAAATTTCTCTGCTTTGAAATGTCTAAAACACTGTCTTTGAATATCTTCTGAAACAAAACACCCACTTACTACAAACTTAAGTTACTAGAAATGATTTTCTAAAAAGCTGCAGCCCAGCAAGCCATCCTCTCTAAAAACAGTTAACTGAATATTATTAAAGTTAAATATAAGTTAATCTTCGGTCTGCAGGGTGAGCACATGTTTAAATATAGTTTACGGTCCACTCTTCATGCATTGGGGTATACCTCATTAGAGATGCTATTTTCTACACTGCTTTGTATTTATTTATAAAATGCTTTGTCTACTTGGACAGCATCATGTTCTCTGTCTCAAAAGAACTAGAACAGAGTCATGAGTGAGTTTGTGTAGTAAAATAACTGGTAGTAAAAGCCCAGAATACCAATGCTTGGGAGACTAAGATAGGAGGATCCTAAGTTCAAGACCTGTTTGGTCTCCAGGGTGAATTCAAGGCTGTCTGGGCAACCTGGTGAGCCCCTGTCTCAAAATAATAGATAGATAGATAGATAGATAGATAGATAGATAGATAGATAGATAGATAGATAGATAGGTGTAAAAAATTCTAAAATGTTAAATAAAAGAATTGGGTATAGCTCAGTTCTAAAGTTCTTACTTTGCATAGTAAGCTCTAGTGCCTATGTTCAGGCTCTAGTATCAAAAAGGAAAACCAAAAGAAATACATATTATATGTGATCAACTGATTCCCTCAGTCCCTATCTCCCTCTCTCCTTCCTTTCTTCCCTTCCAGTGTGTTGTTGTTTGAGGCAGCATCTCTAGTAACTAGGTTGGACCCTAACTTACTATGTAACTGAGAAGCCTTGAGCTTCTGATCCTTTTGTCTCCACCCCAAGTTCTGGGATTATTGCAGACTGTGTCACCATGCCCAGCATGTGTGTGTGTGTGTGTGTGTGTGTGTGTGTGTGTGTGTGTGTTTTCAATTGACAAATGTCTATGCCATCATTCTCTCACGTATTCCTTGTGTTCAGATATTAATTAGAATATAATAATTAGAATACCTAAAACCTGAGTGTACTTGAATTCTACTCTGTAGTTCATGATAGTATTTGAGACATTTGCTACTATCTAGCAAATGTTAAAGTGTGAAAGTTGAAAGGGTATGCTTTCTGTGTGGATAGCAAGACTCCAGGTAACCATTAAGCTACAAAAACAACAGCAACTCTAATATAACTGTCCACTTATGCAAGTGAGAATATAGAAAATGTAATTCGAATAACTGAGAACATATAAACTTCTATGTTTACCACACTTTCTCCTTGTCTGATCAGGCTTACGAATCAAAGCCCTATTGTCCTAGCCTTCGGGCAGAGGCACGTGTATTTCTTTGTATTTATCATTTTAAAAAGTTTACTTGACAACCACTCAGCCATAAGTAGGAAAATTAGGTCTATAATATTACCTGGCCAGCCTTCTCCAGAGCTTGCTTGTCTTGAGAGGCAAATCCTGTCAACATTTTCGTTTGTAGGGCTCCCGATAAAGCCAAGAAGGGGAAGAAGCATAATATAAGCAGACTGAGCTTCCAGGTAAAGAGGAAGGCAATGAATATGGCCATAGCAATGTTAGTGAAGGAATTGACCATCATCCCAATTTGAGAGCCAGCAGCCTGCCAAACAAAAGCAATCAGCCCATCTCAGACATAGTTTCTTTTTATCAGACATTATTATGTGAAGAGCTACTTTATATCAAAATATAGATTCTTTTTATTGTGACAAAATATATATGACAATATTTAGCTTTTTAAATAAAAAAACAAACAATCAACCCCCCAACAGACACAAACAAACAAAAACCACTCACAGTGCTGCGTGGCCGTCACATCTATATTCAATCTTTCTCATCTTCTCTATCCTTAAAGCTCTTTACCTATCAAATGATTTACTTACCTTCCTCCCTTGAGCCACTGGTAATTGTTATTCTACTCTCTGTCTGTATGAATTGTCTACTTTTAGGTACTTCATATAGTGGGGTTATATACCATTTATCCAAGACTCATCTATACTGTGGTACATATTGCAATTTCATTCCTGCTGAAGGTATAAACATTTGGTTGCATGTATAGACAACATTTTGTTTATCTACTTATCCACCAACTGTTGTGAATAATAATTTTGAAAAATGATCATCTAAACTTCTGAAAGTGAAGATCCAATAAGTTAGATTAAAATATAATTGGAAATTTACTAACAGACGACACCAAGTATAAGAAAGAATATTCAAGATTGAGGAAAGGTTCTCTTAAAATATCATATTCAAACAAAAATACTGGAAAAAAGAAAATGAAGAGTGACTGGAAGATGTTTGGGATGCCATTAAAAGATCAAATGTCTACATCATTGATTTATATGAGGTAAAAAAAGATTAAAGATACAAAAACTTATTCAATTAAAAAAAAAGCAGAAAGCTTCCTTAACCTTGGGGAAGGCATGCACATCCCACAAATAGAATGCTGTAGGAGGCCCAGAGAGATACAACCAAGAAAGATTCTCAACCCAACATAGTCAGACTGGCAGAAAAAAAAATCAGGACAAAGATAGAAGCTTAAACTCTTGAAAAGAAAAGCGCCAAATCACAGGTAAAGACAGTGATATTAGACCCACAGCAGAAACTATAGGCTAGAAGAGCATGGGATGGTGTACTTTAAGTCCTGGGAGAAAATTGCTGCCTATATAGATCCCCACACCCAAGGAGGTGATCCTTCAGAATCAATGGCAAAATAAGGACCTCCTACCTTAGTCAACAACTAAGGGTGTTTTGGGCTGGCAAGTGCTTGCTGCCAAACATGTCAACTTGAGTTCAATCCACAGGACCCGCCTGGTGGAAGGGAGGGAACCAGTTCCTGAAAGTTGTCCTTTGACTTCCACGTATGCATAAACGCATTAATAAATAAGGAAAGCATTGTGACTAAAGCAAAAGACAACAATTAAGGGACTTTATGACTACCAGACCAGCTTAACAAAAGATGATGCTTAATGGAGTTTTATATCCAGAAGTGGAAGAAAGAAAATTAGCAAGACAGCATGCAAAAAGTATAAGCCCTGTTTGGAGAGTGATATCCCTTTAATCCCAGCACTTGGGAGGCAGAGGCAGGCAGATCTCCATGAGTTCAAAGTCAGACTCGTCTGCATGGTGAGTTCTAGGACAGCCAAAACTACTTAGTGAACTCCTGGTTCAAACACACACACACACACACACACACACACACACACACACACACAGGAGAGAGAGGGGGAAGGGGAAGAGGGAGTATGTGTGTGTGTGTGTGTGTGAGAGAGAGAGAGAGAGAGAGAGAGAGAGAGAGAGAGAGAGAGAAGAGGAAGGAAGGAAGGAAGGAAGGAAGGAAGGAAAGAAAGAAAGACCTATTATGGAAACAACTATTATGGAAACAGAACACTGGTAGATCCTCAAAAAAACTAAAAATGACCCTCACAGGATCCAGTCACTCCAGTCTTGAGTATATACCTAAATCTGTGTGTCTATGATTATTGTAGAGTTACTCACAACAGTTAACATGTGGGGTTAGACTAGGTACTCATCAGTAGACTTACAGATAAATAAAGTAAGTTATATACATCAAATGGAATACCATTCACACATGAAGAATAAAATCCTGTCATCTGCAGCAAAATGGATGGAGCTAAAGCACCACCATGCTAAGTGAGACCAGCCAGACAATAGATGAACTTGCAAGTTCTCTTTCATATGTGGAAGTTAAGAAAGGTGTGTGTGTGCGTGTGTCTGTGTGTACGTACATACACACACGCACACACACAATTTGCACTGCAAAGGAATGGGGAAATTGTTGAGGCTTGTGGGTTATGGCAGATGAAGGGTGGAGGGACGTAATCAATGTGGGACATATGCATAAGAATCCCATGCATTGTAGAATTGATTTGTGTTAAAAAATAACAGTAAAAGTGGTAATGCATTAAGATTATGTATTACATTGTTTTAAAACTCCCTTGTAGGAGAATATATAACAATGAAAATACGCTCCTATTAGAATTTTTTTAGGGGAATAAGAAAGGCAGAAACAACCTATAGAGTGCTTCTAAGTCTATGGAAAAATATGTTTATAAAAGATAAGAGAATCAAAAGAGATGTGCTTCTAGGAACCTTTAAGATGATTCCAGGGTCATTGAATATTTTTGCAATTTTGGTTGAACTGGCTATGAGTCGAGGCATATTACAGCTCTCCTAATACAGGGAGGGTTAGCTTTTCTCCAAAGCTTCCCAGACCATGCTAGTTTTCTTCTCATTTAGAAAGCCGGTAGAGATTTGTGAAGTAAGCTTGGCTGTCATCACTTTAATCCCAACCCCTGGCTTTAAAAAGATCCAGACTGATCGTAGTCAGCTGTGTTGTATCTTTTAACAACGTTGTGGGATCTAGAAACTACAGCTTTGTCTCCGTGTTTCCCTGGGTCAGAAATATCGCTCTTTGGAGTCGAGAGAAGGGGAGAGGGGGGAATCTAGAGAGTAAACAACTCTTCTTTTTATCCCCATTTCCCAAGGGGAATCGTTCAAACACTGTTCACAGCATCACTCTGGATGCTCAGGTGCAGATATTTCCATGCACCTTTTCCTTCCACATCTAGGGGGCGCACTTGAGCCTGGTGAAATCTAACCTTCAGGATCTTAGAAAAGTCTGAGAAAACATCTCAACTGCTAGACTGAGATGGAATCCCAAATCCTAGCTTATTGATATGTGCCATAATACTGATTCTAGGCCCTGCTTTAAGGAACACAAGCATTAGCTGTTGTCAAAGACTCTGGGTTATCCTAGACCTACTAGTTTCATTCTGGAGGAAATGGGTAATTCTCAGAATGTTCTATCCTAAAAACATCTATCTGTGTAAGACACTCTTACTCCCCACCCCCACATACGATAGCTGAATGTGATTCTTTAAAATTCATGTTAAAATCCCATTCCCACTGCAGAGCATTATTTGTTGGAGCCTTTGGGCATGGTTGGATTGTTAAAGCTCTTTTGTCTTCCCAAACAGGGTATATAAAACCAGAAAAAAAGAAGGTGACCACCGCCGGGCAGTGGTGGTGCTCGCCTTTAATCCTAGCACTCTGGAGGTAGAGACAGGTGGATATCCGTGAGTTCGAGGCCAGCGAGTGCCTGTACAGGCTCCAAAACTACACAGACAAACCTTGTCTCGGAAATAAGAGACGGTGACATAGAATTCCAGCTCCTCTAACCTTCTACCACAGGAAAATGGAAAGAAGATACCATCTTCAAATAGAAGAGAATATGCCCTTACCAGATGTAACCTGCCCTGCCTTGATCTTAAACTTCCCAACCTACAGAATTATGAGGAAAAAATGTGTCTGTTATTTGTAAATTGTCTCATCTAAGATATTTTGTTATGGCCGGGCGGTCCAGCACTTGGGAGGCAGAGGCAGGCAGATCTCTGTGAGTTCAAGGCTGGGCTGGACCAACAGCCTCCAAAACAATACAGAGAAACCCTGTCTTGAAAAACCAAAAAAAAAAAAAAAGATATTTTGTTATAGTATCTAAAATGGACAGACACTCCCAAGACTTACCCCTTGAACCTGGGAGGCATCTGTAGCAAGCCTAGTCGTCAGAACTCCAGGGTTATTTCTGAGGTCATCAAACCAGCCAATATCTTGTCCTAACATTGCTTTGAAACCAAATTTACGTATCCTCTTTGTAAGGAGCTCCCCAGATTTGGCAAAAGTGTAACCCTGAAGCATAAAGAAGGAGTCTTTGATGAGATTTTTTTTTACATGAAAATAGGGGGAAATAGGCAAATCACCTGGTGAAAATAAAATTACCTGCAGAAACTGTGTGAAAATGGATACACAGCCCAGGGCTACAAAAAACAGACACATGTTGCTAATCTCTGACCTTTGTTCTTCTTTATCAGGTATCGAAAAAATCTTTAGAAGACAGTAAGTAGGGAAGAAAGTTTGTTACTATAAATAATAACAAAATAAATACATTTAATACGTTCAGTTAAATGTTCACATTTGTCCAGTCCCATAGAATGTCCAGTGAGAATGAACCCCAGTATCAATACATACTAAAGATGAGAGAACCATGTCAGTGCACAGCATCAACTGTACTGAATGAACCACTGCGGCCGAGGATGCTGGTGATGGAGAAAGGCGGGGGTATATGGGAAATCTCTGAGGCTCCCTCCTAATTTTGCTGTGAACCTTTTTAAAAAAATGGCTTCACTTTAAACACACTAATTTTTAAACCAAAGTGAGTGATTAACAGCATGGTGCATTATTTTCAATCTCCTATGTGGCAGGGTTCCTGAAAATTTTAAACCAATGGCAACAATTACAGAAGTCCTCCCCATCCCCCGTTGTGTTGACTTAAGCACACATTGCTTTTTTGCCTGACATTGATGAAAAAAGAAAAGGAAAGCTGCTCAAGTAGAATTATCTTTTAAGAAGTAAGGGACAAAAAAGAGGGAAGAAGGGAGAGAGAAGGAAAAGAAGAAAAGGGGGACAGCAGGGCGTTATTGAGAATTTGAGAATGCCAGTCTGTGGGAAAACATGGTTATTATTTCAACTCCTATTTCTCTCAAATAATGAACAAAAGAAAGATGATTTTTAGAGTCAGGTATCCTATATTTTACTAGTCATACATATAAACTAGTTTATAAGTATGATATATGTATATATAAGTATATATATTCATTTCTAAAGCAACCAGCTATTGCACAGCTGACTAATGTTAGACTATGAGAGAAAAGAGAGATCTGAGGGTATTGTTGCCCTTCAGGAAACTGGAACTATTCTGTCCTCAAAGGCCATGGAAATTGCGACTAGTCTTTTGGGTTTTTTTCTTTTTGTTTGTTTGTTTATTTGATTTTTGGTTTGGCTTGGTTTTTGGAGGAAGGGTTTCTCTATGCAGCCCTAGCTGTCCTGGAACTTGCTTTGTAGATCAGGCTGGCTTTGTACCCACAGAGATCCGCCTGCCTCTGCCTCCTGGGTGTTGGGATCAAAGGCATTTGCCACCACCATCTGTGGTAACTAGTCTTTAAGGTCTATTTTGATCAGTAAATGGTATTCTTAAATCTGGGATGTATGTACTGATAGCTCCTAGCTGAGAACTAAGTTGTTGCAATAAGAAAATTGTCTTCTGGTAGCAAGGCTCTCCAGTGAAATGAATTTTAGTCACAACAAACCTTCATAATTCACACTAAATGAAGTAACTGGGATAAGCCAGGAAAAGTATGGACTGGAGAATACACAAGTCCTTATCCTCTCTTCTCTTTTCTCTTCTCTCCTCTCCCCTCCTCTCCTCTCCTCTCTTCTCTCTCATCCTCCCCTCCCCTCCCTCCCTCCCTCTCTCCCTCTCTCTCTGTCCTCCTCTCCCTCTCTCTGTCCTCCTCCCCTCTCTCCCTCCCTCCCCCCTCTCTCCTCTTTCTCCCTCTCTCCCTTTCTCTCTCCAGGCTCTCTCACTGACCTGGAACTATCCAGCTTTTCCAGCGAGTCCTAAAGAGGATCCTCTGGTCTCCCCACTGCTGGGATAACACACATGTGTCACAATGTCTAGCTTTCTGTGTGGATTCTGGGGATTGAACTCCGGTCCTCATGCTTGCATGGTAAGCACTATATTGACTCCAGTCCAACAGTTCTGAAATACCGTGATATCTAAAACGTTGCCAGTATAGAGTTTCCCAAAGAAAATGATTTATTCAACACATATTTGCTGAATACTTACTATGTGTGAAATAAATCTCCTCAAAAACAATATGTACCATATTGCATCAATACAATTTTTCTGCGAAGCAAGAATAATGTTTCCTGTTTTTCTTTGTGTCTGGTCTCTGGCTCATGTGATACACAGAACAGAAAATACAGGTTTCAGGACACATATTGCATTAGTGAATGATAATACTTGATGCCAAACAGGAAGTAAACCATCTCCCTTTCTTCCCCATCAACGCAGTTTACAAGTTTAAAGCATTTTCATTTTAGGGAAAAGGGCTCTTGGAATTCAAGAAACGTTCTATAGTGGCTAATACAGTCTGAGTAAAATTGAGTGAATATCTCAGGCTGGTGAAGCCCACAGAAGCAGCTGATCTGAATAAGGGGGAGCTCATGGGCCCCAGACAGATGGCTGAGAGGCCAGCATGGGACTGACCCAGACCCCTGGAATGTAGATGTCAGTGAGGAGGCCTTGGCAATCTATGGGGCCTCTGGTAGTAGATCAGTATTTATCCCTGGCATACACATGGACTTTGGGAGCCCATTCCACATGGAGGGATGTGCTCTCGGCCTGAACACATGGGAGAGGACCTGGGCCCTGCCCAGGATGATATGACAGACTTTGGGGATCCCCCATGGAGTGCCTGACCCTCCCTGGGGAGCCAAGGGAAGATAGGATGGGGGGCTGGTGGGAGGCGGGGGAGGAGAGGAGGGAGAAGGAGCTGGGATTGACATATGAAGCAGGCTTGTTTCTAATTTAAATTTTAAAAAACTTTAAAAAATTGAGTGAATATCTTCTTGATCCCACTTTTGTTAAGGTTTATACCTTAAGCAGGCCTAGACACACTGCTGCCAGCATATACTCAAAGACTTGACTTCCTACAGCAGAGATACTTGCATACTCATGCTCACCGCAGCTCTAATTCCAACAGCTAGGAAATGGAATCAGCTGAGATGCCCATGGATTGATGCCTGCCTGGATAATGAAAAAGTGGTTCATGGATGCAGTGGAATTTTACTCAGCTATGTCCCCCATCTCTGCCCCAACACATAAAGCTCAGAGTACAACATAGAGGTGACAGAAGAGCATGAGATCTGGAGGATCAGTAGGAGTGCCGTGAGATGCTGTCTCCTGAATGGACATGGCCATTGTGGCCATGGGCTCACAGCAGCTCTGTTGACCTGAACAAACCAAGCTTCTCAACATCCCAGCATGGAATAGAGAGATCTCACTTCTAATTGATGAACTATTGGTGTTAATGACTTCTGGGGAAGAGTCCTTTTTCTTAGTGTTACAGCTCCCAGTAAGGTTATCCATGCGTCAGTAAACAGCCTCTCCCACACACACTCCTGCTCATTCAGGCAATCCTAATTAAGTCAGTGGACCCTTTAACAAACCATGAAGGCAGCACCGGTCTTGTTGTGAGGGAGACCAAAGTACATGGGAGGAGGCTAAAAGAGGAGAATGGGGAGGACATGACAAATACTACATGTGAATATGAAATTGTCAACAAATAAATACTTTTAGGAAGAGAAAATCAGCAAAGATGCCAATATTCAGGGTTTCCTTTATACAGGCCAACATCAAAGGACAGGCTTCCATATTTCACTTATCCATACTCTTTTTACTAACATATGTTCCTCTTGCTCAGTGAGGTTCACCTAGAGTCTCTTGTTTCTGGAATGGTAGCTAGAGAGGCTAGGCAAGGCCTGATTTTGTCCTCGATCCCAGGCCAACACCAGCAATAGTGATAAATTGATAAATATTTGTTGAATGGTGGCTGTTCTTTATTTTTCTTTCTGTTTAATGATTGCCTTCCTCTCTGCCAAGGAGAAATTCCAAGGAGAAAGTGTCATAAATGAGATGGTATTCTCAAGTCGCTAGTATGATGTCTAAGGGGGACCATCAACAAATGTTTGTTGTGAGAATAAAAGAACATTTGCTTATACTTGGATACTGTACCTACCAGAAAATTAAGAAATACACATTAGTTATTTTAAAAGATTTTCAGCATGAAAGATTGTGGTGCCATGTGACCAGAAACCCAGTTAACTCTAGCTGTGTTTCCAATTGCTTGACTTCCTGAAAGTAATTAAAATTAAAATGGCCAACGACATTTCTACCTAGAAGATTCTACTAGTGGGTTATTCAGGTCTTTCTATACAAGTTACACCCATTTATCTTTCGTGATCCTAATATCTATCAGAGAGGGATGTAGAAAAGGGAACAAAAATGTGAGTTTTTCAAAGCATCACTCTGACAATGTGGTGTGCTGGCAAGTGCTCGAGAAAGTTGACAGTGTTCTTAAGGATATAGTTTTTCTTTGTTGAACTCCCTCTCCTCCTCCTCCTCCCCCTCCCACCTCCCCCCATGCATGTGTGCAAGTGTGTGAACTATGAAAATATGACAACCTCTTAACAACTAATTTTGTGGTACTAAGGTGTAAACAGAGCCTGGCTCTATATCACCCTGGCTGAATGTGAATCCCAACTATCATGTGCTCCGTCCCCTGAATTCTCTGAGCCATAGTTTGCTCCTCTATAAAACAGCAGTAAGGGGAATCTGGGCAGCCAGTGGTTATTTGGAAACATAATGAACACTAAATGTTTAGATGATGCCTAATAAGCATTTGCCACTGTTGCTATAGCAATAGTCAAGTGGAGAATAGCAAAACTCCAAGGAGGTGAAAAATTAAAATAAGTGCATTCTTTCTCCCTGTTGTATTTTTACTTCTTTATTGTTTTTCTCACTTCCTCCCACGTCCCCATTTTAATGCAGCCATTAGAAGAGCAGAGACTTGCACAAGACACACTATCACCTGCTTTTTAAGTCAAGTTTTGTACCTCAGTAGACCAGTAAGATTAAAAATTGCCCTAAAATCCTTTTGTATTATTATTCAACAGACACATTTTCCATACAGGAAAGCTGCCTTCCTCCTACAATCTGTATCTTTATTTATTTATTTGTGTATTTATTTATTTATTTATCCATAGGTGTGATGATTGAGAGTCCTTGCCAGGCAAAATGAGAGTGTCACCTTCGCATCTTCCGTATGGCGGAGACTCTATGCATTGTTCATCTTTCAGAACTGGGGGTAGGCAGGAGAGCTAGCAAAAAAAGACTACATGTGTTAAAGCCTATAGGTGTTTGATTAGACTCAGGGTTAGCCAGTGATTTAAAAACAGACGGTATGAACAGAATAAAGTTACCCAGTTGCTTGCTTACCCCAAGGATCTGGCTGAATATAAAGGAGTAGATGGGTGTGACTGCCCCGTTAATACACGCACTCAAAGCTCCTACCAGCATGTAGTGCCATTCTGGAAAATTCAATTTCAGAATCCTTCTAACTGGAGCCGGTTCAACTTCTTCCACAGGCATGTCATTGTCCTTAGGGAAAGAGAGGGTTACATCACTTACCCAGACATAGTCATACTCTTTGGTGCTCACAGGGTTAAGAGTTACAAGCTGGCTCATTATGAGTGATTTCAGAGAGTCCTGGGATATGGTAAATGCTATTGGTTGGGACTGTGGCCTGTCTGAGGTGGGGATGCTCACTAAACAGTGAGTTGATAGTGCTCACAATAGCATACTGACTGACTCTCAAGCAGTAAGGTATGTGTTATGTCTTGAAAGTAACTCCTCATTTTAAAAACAACCTTGCTATGTGTATTTACACATTAAGAGCTTTAGGAAGTTTTGAGGTACATTTTCCATGCATACCAAGCGAGGTTCTTTAAGCTAGTAAGTGGCTGAAGCTCTGGGACAGGCCAGTGTTTCTGAGGTGAGACATATTTAATTCACAGTGGTTGTGCACTTGCGTTAATAAGATTTTCCTAGTGAGAGCTCAAAAGCCAGCAATACTAGATCCGGATTTCTGAACAGAGAACGAAAATTAGTCAGGACTTTCCCATTCTGATTTTTTAAATTGGTATTAGGATATCACAGCTTGTAACTTTCATCCCTTTGAGGGCAAGTATTATGTAAAGAACCTTGTTTTATTTTTCATCTTTTTGTATGTTTATTCAATGATTTGTTAAACTTAATACCCACACTGAGAAAGGATTCGAGGTGGCTTACACAGCTTTACATTGTTTTTTAAACTTTTTATGTTAAAATACACTAAAGATATCTGTACAAAATTGACTGACTGCAAAAACAATTCTACAAAATAATTAATGAATGCCCTTCTTTTCTGGTACAAGTTAATTTATCCTCCAGCTAGCTAAATATCAGGAACAGAAAATGGCACAAAGCTCCAAAAACCATTTCCCTTCTCTTACAAAGTCAAAGACCATATTACCAGTTCAGTTTAAATGGAAGGCTGGCCTGATGGCCGTTTCACTACAGCTGCAGCTGGAGCTGGTAATGAATTTGTCATCATGTCCCTTTTGAGTTCTCTCTTGGCTGCCTGCAACACTGCATTTTGTCACTGCTGCTCACTCACGCAGCAAATCCTCCTGATCGGCTGTTTCATCTTAGCCTACTAACTTGGGCCATCAGTGCCACAGAGAAGGTGCCTGGGAAGCAGCAGGCAGAGAAAGAGTGGAGTTCTTGGGAGAATCCTATCTAGCCACTGGCAGAATATACAGTCGAGCTCTCAGCCCGCTGGACCTTGGCTATTTTGCTAAAATGAGGGAGTTGGGTAAATCATATTTCTGCACAAGGGCATTAACTACCTTTGTTCAGATTGTCTTTTGAGGATATTTGTCTGGCCAACAATCTTGGAAGACATAGCTATTCCTTTTACCCCAAGCACTCAGCCCACCTGCCCACTAGGGAGAAGATAGGCTCCCCAAGCCTGTAAATCTTTTCCTATCATACAATTTACTTCAAGGTGGTATTATCTGGCCCCCTTTGTGTCTCCTTTTGGGAACTGGGACTTGAGCTGGGAAACCATTGCAAACTGCAGATACTGTTACTGCTCTGAGTAGTTCCCTATTTACCTCTGACTGTGGTGGAGTCTGCCTGCACCCTTGGGATGGTGGCAGACTAATGAGATGGCTTTCAGTAGGCCAAAACTAACCTTTGTATGCTTTGATAGTCCAGACCCGATGCTCACAGACTCATAAATGTCATGCTAATGTTCTCTGAATTCTACCTGTTCTCTAATGACTCTACTACCCCATAGGATGGTTACTTCTTTCATAGCCTAACAAAATGGTTTTCTTGTAGCAAAGTATCCTCAGCCTTAAGCAATGAAATATTTAAGGGAACTATGACATATCTTTGCCCTACAGTTTTCATCTCAAGATAAACTAATAAACAACAGCAGTTAACTGTTACACACACACACACAGACACACACACAGACACACACACAGACACACACACACACCAATATTTTAAAGAGAGTTATTATCTGCCAGGCATGGAGTGCATGCCTTTAATACCAGCATTCCTGAGGCAGAGCTAGGCAGATCTCTGTGAGTTGGAGGCCAGCCTGGTCTACAGAGTAAGTTTAAAGCAACTTGAGCAGTACAGACACTAGAAGGCCAGTCCCCAAAGGCTTATTTTATTTGTTGTATATAAATAAACAGCAGAGGAATAAAAAATAATATGAAGTCTTTTATACTTTATAAATAATAACTAAGTCATCTAGGAGATACAATAGTCTCTGACCTACCATACAGATAGACCCCATCTCAATAGACTTTTCCTAGTTTTCTTTTTTGATTTCCTGTGAGGGCCAGGGAAAGATAAAACTTCCTGCTGGAATTTTTGTGTCCTTCTTACTATATTTTTTACAGCAGTTCTGCATCCTAACAATAGGAGTCTCCTATCTGGATGATGATTTTAAGGTTTAATGATAAAATGGTACATATAACAAAGACACCAAGATTTTCCAGATGAGTGAGCATGGATAGCCATTTTTATGAGCCCAGGCTCTGTTCTATGTCTTAAGCTGGGAATAAACCCCGTAAGTCAGCGATGATGAAGCTACAAGTGTCTAATAAGCTCATCCTGACTTGATTCATATGTATTCCTTCTTCCTTCCTTCCTTCCTTTTAATTTATTTAGTCTTGCTAAAAAAGATTCATAAATATTAGAGGCTGAAATCTACTCTGTAGATGTCCCTTAATTCTAAACTTAACCTGATTAAGGGTATTTACCATCAGATCCCATTTATAGGAGGTAAAGACACAGCATGGAGGAGAACCAGCTTAGCTCTGTCACTAACTTCAGAACAAGAGTCTTAAGCCTCAACCCTTCTCCGTGTTCTGCAGATACCCCGAGAGACCACAAGATGGAGGTAATCACTTTATGGAAGTAGAACCTTCACAACACAGCAAACTGTTTCTCACTCCACAGACAACGAGGTGGGCCTTCTCCATCAGAATGAGAAAGAGCAAGACTCCTGCTTGGCCTTGTAGACTTTAGTTAAGTGCTAAAATCCTTTGAAATACTAAAACAGGACCACACCTCCTTCGTACAGTGCTCCCTGTCAATTAAAAATCGACTAGCCAAAAAAGAAAGAATTGGAAATTCCATTAGCCAAACTATATTGTTCCCTTTAAATTTTTCTTCAGGTCAAAGGGCTGGTGAAGTTACTGTATACACAAGAAGCATCAGGGAAACAACAGATGGTTTCCTTTTGGAGCCTGAACAATGTCATTTCAGCTTCTCAACATCTTTCCTGTTCCTCATTTTCATCTCTCTTGGAAGAGAAAATAAAAAATGGCATCTTTTGAAAGCTGTACCAGCAACATCCAAATGATGTCATTTGTTTTCTTCCCAGTGCCGTGAACATCAACAAAACAGTTAATTCTGGCTCCAGAAGGGAAGCTATTGCCAGGAACCATCCTTACAAATGCGTGTTCCCTCATTGTGTTTCATCCTGCGCCTCCTGAGAAAGATGGGTCTATGGGATTTATTGAAACAAATTTATTCAACATTGAGACCTCTATTGGACGTTAACAGAGAAAGACAGGAGAGAGCCTTAATAACACACAAGGTCTTACGGGGTATCATTCAAGAGTTTATCCCAAATTTCTCCTCTGTGAGCCAGTGTTTGTAATGATGTCTTAATGGATTCACACGTTTGGATTTCATTGAAGGCATCTTGAAATTACATCATGCATAATGGATGTACTTTCAATTAAAATATTCCCTGGCTTATTTGATTCGGTACGGAGAAGAGTCTGAGCTTCATTTTAGTCACAGAAACTCAAATTTTCATTCCAGTTAAAAACAAATCACAAACAAACAAAAACCTCTTGATACAAGGCACTGGGCAAAGTGCCCGTGTGACTCAGCATAGATGTAATGGGTCAGGAAGTCTAAGAAGTAAAATTTAGTAGGAGAAAAGAGAATGGCTTCAAAAATTAAGAGTTCCATGAAGAAGTTCTAATTCAGGCATACAGGGGATGAAAGGTGAGTCCATCATGGTGGGAAAGACTTGGGGTTTGATGTATGGCCCCTTACGAGAAAGATAATGTCTACAACAGTGGAATACCTACATTCTCATGAGTGTACCTTTTTATTTAAAACTTGTGACAATTTGTCTGAAGTCAAGCTTTATCAAATACCTTCATCAATTAAGAGGAAATTTTAAATTTTGAGAAAAAAAATGGTTTGGGGTATTCTTTAAAAAGTTAAAAAGTTACCTCCATAAAAACCAAATAATTTGCTATGCATGTTTAAGAAGCATATTTTCTGTTTATTGTAATTATTCCTCTAAAAATTGGTAGCTATTCCTTAACAATTCAGCTTAACTTAATATATGTTCCTCAAAGAAATTAACTAGTGAATCTAAGTTCTTTGGGAGGAGGTGTGTAAAGCATGGAGTTTTGACTAGGTCTGAATGTCCCCCTATTTGGTCTGATTATACACCTAGTAAGCATATATACCTAAAGATAGATGGGGCACCTGAGAAAGACTCCTCCCATGCCCCAAGCCCCTCCCCAGAGCAATGGGCATCTGACCTTGCTGTCTTCATACATAGATTTGTGATCAGCAATAGCCAATGGAGGGTCATGTGTCATTTGAGAAAGCTGAGACTTGGAGCGTTGCCGGATGGAAGCTCTGGAAGAAAAAAAAAACCAAACAAACAAAATCAGCAAGACAAGACAGGCTGTAGATGGCAAACCAGCTGGTGTCCCAGTTTACATCACACCCCAAATCAACAGAAGTGTTTCGTGGATCATGTGGCATCCAGGGCAGGGAACTTCCAAGTAAAGTTTGATGAAGTTGGGTAGATTGGGTAGATTTCTCTCAAACCCAAGCTCTGTCCCTTCTGGATCCAGATTCAGTGTGTACCAGGGAGAGAGAGAGAGAAGGGACCAGTTTCCCATCAGCCTACTAAAAGCTGCTGAGACACTTCAGTGTGTTCACAACCCACATGGTTCCATCAGCTACTGCCATGACAAAGGGGATGGTTTAGCACTTGTGTTTCCTTCTGGTTTAGGCTATAGTTTCTAGTCTCTGTCTGTAATTTCTATGTGTCTGACTGTCTCTGTCTCTATGTCTCTCTGTGTCTCTATTTCTCCCCCTATTCCTCTCCCACCTCTCCCTCTTCCTGTCCTTCTGCACGTCAGGATACAAGTGAGATAACAAAAAAGAAAACCAGGGTCCCCAGTGAGACTGTCTAGGTCTTTTGAGTCACATGCAACCAGGCCAAAGAGCTTCCAAGTTAGAGCTGATGAAACTTATCTCGACTGCCCACAGAAATGCAACATCAAAAACTTATTGAAATACAATTTAGCTTAATGTAATTGTTCATTCATCTACAGTGTGTTGGGTCCCTACATTATGTAAAAATGTTAGGTGCTAGAGGGAAGATAAAAACTAGCCAAATCACAGACATCTTTCTCAAGGAGTTTAAACCCAGATACTACTACATGTAATCAAAGCTAGTGTAAGGGAAAAAATCTGGTGGGTTGAATAGTAAAATTTGTAATTTTGAAGACTTAATTTGAAGAAGTACAGTGTAAGGAGAGAGACGATAGAGGGGAGGGGACCATGTCAACTGTTCCAGCCCTAGATAGAATAATTTACATGTCCTGTATTATTTGTATGCAGTGGAAATTATACTAAAAAAATGCCAAAATGGTGCCTGTCACTATCTGCTTATTCTGGCTTCCCCCTTAAAAAAAATCAGTAACATGTCAACTTCATTACTCTACTCTCTTCCCACACTATGTGAATGGCCTCCCTCTTAGTCATCCGGGTTCAACACTGTGCATTTCCCCGAAGTCACCTCTTTTCTTTAATCTTGTACATTCAAACTCTGGCCAAGTCTCATTATGATTCAGAACAAAGGGCTCCTGAAACTTGATTCACTGTCCCCAACCTCATCTCTGGGTTATTAACTTACTCCAGACTATGAAGAAAGCTGTGTCACCTGGAGTTCACAGGGTGGTCATAGGGAATCACGGACATATAATATGAGTGCAACTCAAAGCCATAGATCACATCAAACTCACAGCAGTTGACACCAAGGTAGGAGTATATAAGAAAGCAGAGAATGTCAATATTTAATTGAGTGTTTAATACCCAGTTCCAGATGTAGGAAGACCTATCTGTGAGTTCCTTCAGGTTCCTACTACCTTTATCTTGTACTTCTCAAATCTCCCTCTATCCTGGTCTTAAAACCTCTCTAACATGATGGACTGTTATGAGTCCATGAGCAATAAGTGTGCAGGGCAAGGGCTCTGCCTACCAGTTGGTCCTCAGTCTGCTTTGTCAGAAACACTATGGTAAGATTTCTTCACACCCCTTTTCAGAAATTATGCAACACCATCTTAAGAAATCCTCACTTTGTCAAAAGTTACATACCACTTCTCACTGCAAAGAGAAACAGCTAATTTGGGGGAGAAATGTGCTCTTTCTCTCTTTTTCAACATTATTATTTAGGAAATTATTTTCTGTTGCCAATTAACTTGTTTTATTGCCAAAGGAAGACTCAGCTATCAGAAAGACTATAACCCAAGAAACAAGATACAAATTAACATTTCATTTAGTCATCTTCTAGAAGAAAATCTTGTCACCACTTACAATGAGGTATTTTTAATAAAGCTCCTTATTCAAAGTTATAAATGTTTCTCTGCAGGAGGTTAATAGCTACTTTTTGTACGTAGATTGTCCTTCTGTATTTTTTAGTCCTAGTCATTAAATTGTAGAATTTGTGGGAAATGTAGCCAAATAAGAGACACTTGTGTAAAAATGGTTTTCTGTTATTCATCACACACTACTTAGAATGGATAGAACTTTGTTCTTAGAAATAAATAAAACATTACTTTCTAGATGACATGACCACAAGATATATGTCATTTTAACCCTATTTCAGGAATGTCCAGGCATTACTTGTATTTAAGAAAGTAGTTGCTCCCTTCAATCTGTGATTGATGTACTTTACTCATGATCAAACATACTGCCGTGATCAAATATAGTGTTACATGTCTATAAAACGTGCCTAACAATTCTGGTAGTATCTATATTTTCTACTATATAGTGTAACTCAAAGATAATGCTTGAGCTAGGCGTTGGTGGCACATGCCTTTAATCCCAGCACTCGGGAGGCAAAGGCAAGCAGAGCTCTGTGAGTTCGAGGCCAGCCTGGTTTACAGAGCGAGTTCCAGGACAGCCTCCAAAACAATACAAAGAAACCCTGTCTCAAAAAGCCAAAAAAAAAAAAAAAAAGATAAGATAATCCTTGGTTTTCCACTTCAATAAAGTAAACACTTCTTTACTTTTCTTTTCTTCAGTAGATTTGTTCTAAAGAGGAACAAAAACCTAACTGAGAGTTCAGATCTATAAAGAAAAGATGCATTAGCATAAACAAAATCTATATTTGAAATAGGTACAATACTTTTTAGTAAATTATTCCTGTAAAGTTAACAGTAAATAAAATAGTTTTGACTATGTAAAGCTGTTGTTGGAATGTTCTCTTTTAAGCAGCTTTAACTCCTTTTCAGTAAACAAGCAGCCATCTAGAATGAGCGAGTCCTATACTGAGCCTTTGCTCTGAGCAGTATTTGATTAACGTCTTGGAATTGGTGAGGCCAATGGCAGAGAGATGCATCAACTGTAACTTATTACTAGTTCTCTGCTGGAGGGGTAGAAAATGTTTTAAAGGTGTCTGTGTGAACACACACAAATATTTCTGGACAAAATTCTTCTTCTTTTTTTTTTATTTTGGTTTTACGAGACAGGGTTTCTCTGTATTGTTTTGGAGGCTGTCGGTCCAGCCTGGCCTCGAACTCACAGAGATCTGCCTGCCTCTGCCGCCTGAGTGCTGGGATTAAAGGAGTGCGCCACCAACGCCCGGCCTGGACAAAATTCTTAATACATAACTTTTTTTTTTTTTTGGTTTTTTGAGACAGGGTTTCTCTGTATTGGTTTGGAGATTATCCTGGAACTCTGTAGACCAGGCTGACCTCGAACTCACAGAGATCTGCCTGCCTCTGTCTCCCGAATGCTGGGATTAAAGGCATGAGCCACCAACTCCCAGCCTTAATACATGACTTTTAACACCAAAATTTTTTCAATAAAATTCTTAAACCAACATAAAAATGATGATTTACAGTCTCATTAACAGCACATTCCAAGACATGCTTTGAAAGTGAATAGTTATATATGTAAACAGGAAAATAATGATCTCATTTGAGGGCATCCTCTTTAAAAACTAAAACACGCATTTTATTCCATCCAGTTAAGGATGATTTTAGACTAAATGCATTACTCCAGGAGTGGAAGTGTTAGTAATTCAGTTGCTCAAGATAAAGAACAGAGGTGAAGATGGCCTTCATATAAGAGGGTTTCAAACAGTGGGCTAGGATTGGTTTGGAAAAATTAGGTGTCTGGCAGTTTGTTTGTTTGTAATTGTTTGTGTTTTCTCCTGAGACAGGGTCTTATGATATAGTCCAAGCTAGCTTTGAACTTATGATCTTCCTGCCTCAGCCTCCCAAGTATGTGGATAGTAGTACCAAGTTACCATAGTAGCTTTAAAAACCCCTCCTATTCTAGGCATTGGAAAGATGACTCAGTGAGTAAGAACACCGACTGTTCTCCAGGTTCCAATTCTCAGCATCCACATGGTAGTTCACAACCATCTGTAACTACAGTCCCAGGGAATCCAGTTCCCTCTTCTGACCTCTGTAGGCACCAGACACATACATGCAGGCAAAACACCCATACACATAAAATTAAAACAAATCATAAGTAAAATCCCTATTCTAAGCTCAATAAACATTTTAATCAGAGAGCCCTCCATCATGGCCCTTCACTCAACAGACTGAGATGACGAGTTAAATAAGCTGACATATTCTTATATCACAAGACCTGATGTCTGCATAGGGTTTCCTTCTTGGACCTGAGATATTGCCTAAGGACCACAACTGTAGAAGGCTCCTAAAAATATCTGAAAACATGAAAATCACATGGCTTGTGCTTACCTTAAACTATCCCGATAGCTCCCTCTGATAAAAGTCCTCTCAAGTGCACCATCTCTGGTTGCATCTTTTCCTGTTTAACACAACACAAGCCACTCCTTAGAGCACACAGTAAGCATGGCCGTATTTACATGGAATCATTTACTGTTTTGCCTAGAAGGTAATTAGTGCATGGACTATCCAAATATCCTATTAACTTATTGTTATAAATAAAACTTGAAAGTTGCCCAATGCATTCTAACACCCATCAAAATTCTGAAAGTACTCAGTGATGCTGACTTGTGTGAAATGTGCACTGACTGTCCTCTCTAAATACACGGTATCTTTTAGGATAAATTGTTAAAAATTAATGGGATCTCACTAGAGTTCGCAAAAACAAACAAACAGATAAGCAAAAACACTGATACAATCTGCAAACTTTCAAAGCTTACTCAGATTTCATGGGTGTTAAAAATATGCAATAGTTGTGTGTTCATGTGTCCACATGGGAGATGGTGGAGAAAGTCAAGAGTGGTTGATTAATCAGCTCAGGATAGCCACCGAGTCTGAAAGCTCAGACTGAGAAAAAGAAAGCATAGTAGGGCCTGGAATGTCTGTCTCCATCTGAAAATAAGTGTAAAATATTTAGTCATTGTTTAATTCACACAATAATGATGAGAATTCTCCATATGCCTGACACATCCAGGAAGACTGTCCTACTTGAAAAATGGTAGAGTTGAAATCAAAAGACAGTCTTCCTGGATAACTTAGCCGTCTGTGTTTTATTTATTACCTTCATCAACTGCATAACATCTGCTGGGCTTTGGGAGAATAAGCAATACATATTCACAGGTGTATAAATTCATCCAGTACTATAGAAATTCTTTAGTATAGTATAAGGTGAAAGGGAAAAAGGTACTTGCCCTTTATGCCCTTTTCTTTGGGGGCTTCATCTTCTTGGCTTTGCAGGGTCACAAGCATGAAGTAGACACCTTTTCTCTCTAACAGTTCTTCATGGGTGCCTCTTTCCACAGCTGCTCCGTGATCCAAACCAATGATCACGTCTGCTGTTCTGACAGTTGATAGGCGATGGGCAACTGAGACAATCGTATGCTCGTGTTGAATCTGTGAGAAGACATAGTGTACCCTTAAACAAGACTAAGACAGAACCAATACCGACCTTCACACCATCCCTGAGTCTACAAGGAAGTCAGTGTCAGACGCTAGGAACATCCTACGCGGTCTGTGCATGTATCAGAAATAGCCAACTGTTTCTTGTAGCCATAAATTAATACCACAGATTGACCTGATTGTGGCAATTAATCAATAACTTAATGGAGGGGTTACATCATGTTAAATATGAGTTTTAATTTTATATTGCATCTTTGGGGAATAAATCACAACTATGTTCTGTTCAACTTGAAATAGATGCTAATTGACCAGTACTTTATAAATTTTCAGACCAAATGTACTGACCTGATACTATCATTCCCTCCTTGAAGGGTCTGTGTAATGAACTAACTCTCCACAAACCTTATTCAATTCTCCTTGTACTATGGCTTCACTCTCATTGTCCAGTGCCGAAGTAGCCATGTCCAAAAGCAAGATCTTGGGATTCCGTATGAGGGCTCGAGCGATGGCTACCCTTTGTTTCTGACCACCACTTATCTGGCCTCCTCCTTCTCCCACAAGGGTATCAAATTGCTAGGAAACATGAGGAAGAATTTGATGGTTCCTGACAGCGAGCCAATATCCCTTCTAACTTTTTTTCTCAATTGTGAATTTTTACAGGTCCAACTTTCACTGAAAGTAATATCCATTTCCAAAATGAACTAACCAAGCAATACTTGCATATGAGATAGTAATGCATTGAATTGTGAGAGTGTTCCTTTTTAGTCCATGTTCAAATGAACATTTTCAACTAGAATGAAAATTGATCAGTCTTAAAAATCCGTCACTGTAGACTAAGTCACAAATTACAATCTTGTTTCCTTTCTCCTGCTGAACGCACAGCAGAACAGGATGCTAGGAGCTGTCTTTATCTTGTGAATGAAGGATTAAACCAGTTTTGTTTATTTATCCTTGCTATCCCAGCAAGCCCTGACTGAGTATCCCACAGGACTAAGTTATACACTCAATTAACAATGGAGTGTTAGAAGTCAGTTTAACTTTCTTAGTATCAGGCAATAAGGGTTGAGCTCTGTAGCACACATAAAGCATGGTACTGAAAGTCTACAGATATTGTCCTCACAGAACCCCAGGAGGCAAGTACTGCTACTTGTCTTAATGGTCGAACCAAGAGATTCTGAGTATAAAGGGTTAAACTAACCTGACAGAAGCTCGTAAAGCTAGAAGGAAGAGAAGATGGTTTGAAATTGAGGCAGCGTAATTCCAAAGCTTTATTCTCATTAGCTATTAAACCGTAGCATTCTCATAATGACAATGCTACTCAAAATGGTGATTTAGAAGGTGTGATGATTTGAATGAAATGGCCCCAGAGGCTCACAGGGAGTGACTCTATTTGAAAGGATTGGGATGTGTGGCCTTGTTGGAGTCGGCGTGGCCTTAATGAAGGAAGTATGTCACTGAGGGTGGGCTTTGAGGTTTCAGAAGTTCAACTCAGGTCCAGTGGCTTTCCCTCTCTTCCTCTGCCCGCGGAACATATGTAGAACTCTCAGCTACCTCTCCAGCATCATGTCTGCCTGTGTGTCCCCATGCTTCCTTCCTTAGCTGTAATGGACTAAACCTCGGAACTGTAAGCCAGCTCCAAATAAATGCTTTCCTTATAAGAGTTGCAGTCGGCCAGGAGTTGGTGGCTCACACCTTTAATCCCAGCACTTGGGAAGCAGAGGCAGGTGAATCTCTGTGAGTTGGAGGCCAGCCTGGTTTACAGAGAAAGTTCTAGGACAACCTCTCCAAAGCAATACAGAGAAACCCTGTCTCAAAAGAAAAAAAAAGTTGCTGTGGTCATGGTGTCTTGTCATAGCAATAAAACCCTGACTAGCATAGAGGGTGAATGGAATGTATCAGACAACTTTCTGTGACTTTCCTGTTTACACATTGTAGAATTTGGGGCAGTTATTGACCACACAGAACATCATTATTCATCTGCAGATGGACATAACAGTAGTTGCTAACTGGCAAGGTAGTTGTGAGGGTTAAGAACTAATGGATGTGAAGTGCTAGGACAAATCCTGACTGTAGTAAAAGCCATGCATTTAAGACTAGTGATGGTCCTGTGACTTAGCACACCCTCATGGCAAACACAGTGGATATAATATAGAGCTAGTTTTTGCAGACATGGCGATCACACAGAATGGAGTCATAACAATAAACACTTGGTTTGTGAGATTCAAGTCTAAGCACAAGGAAACTTAAGCATAATGATGGTGGTAGATACGATTCAGATCTTAAATGTTCCCTGCAATGGCTAATATTCATTTCCAACTTGATGGGATTTGAAACTGCCTAAAAGGCACAACTCTGTGTACATTTTGAGGGCATTTCCAGAAAAGGTAACCTACAAAGAGGAGAGTCACCCTAAATGTAGATGACTGATCTCCCAGGAGCTGGGATTGAAAGAGCAAACAGAAAACTGACTCAGCACCAGCATCCGTCTCTCTTGGCTTCCTACCCACAAACATGTGTGACCAGCTATGTCATGTTCATGCTACCACACTGTCCCTGACATGTTGGACTGTATCTCCTGGCTTCTGAGAGGTAAGCTGTTATGTTCTGCTACATACTCACCACAAGTAAGTTTTATCTTCTCACAAGCAAAGGAAACAGCTGACCTTTGACTGAAATCATATGTCCAAATTAATTTTTGCCTTATAAGTTACTTATGTCAGATACTTTGTCACGGTAACTGAAGGGTGGATAACAAGTAAGAAAACATTTCTCAAGCATTGCTTCATGGTAAATATTGCAAAATTTTCAACACATGCTTAATAGGTAGACAAAGAGATTATATCCACATCAAAGGGATCTTTATGAAAGATAGATCTCCAGTTCGGTAGATGTCAACTATATAAACAGTGTATTTTCACTTGAAAGGGAAAACGTGGCACATTTCCAGGCATAAACTGAGAGCATGCCATTAAAAATGTAAGGACTGAGGATTCAAGTGTAAAGGACATATTCTTCCTCGGATGACTTCTGCGTTCTCCTGGACCATAAGGAAGGTACCTGTGGCAGGGCCATGATGAAGTTGTAGGCATTGGCCTCCTTTGCGGCTTTGACTATGTCTTCCATTGTTGCTTCTTCTCTGCCGTAACGGATGTTTTCTGCAATAGTGGTAGAGAACAGAACTGGCTCCTGCTCCACTACCCCAATCTGATCCCTCAACCACCGGATGTTGAGAGAGCGAATGTCGTGGCCATCCAGTGTCACCTAGAGAGCAGAAGAGTCCTTCGAGCTTCTGAATCACAATGTTAGGTGATACTTAGTCACTGGAGAGAATAACCAGATACTAACAAGACTGTAATAGACACAATTACCATGGAATGAGGCTGTTTATACAAGGATATAATTGAAATAAAAAAATTCATTGTAGAAACACGGGGAATGTAAAAAAAAATCACTATGTGGTTGCTGGGAATTGAACTCAGAATCTCTGGAAGAGCAGTCAGTGCTCTTAACCTCTGAGCCACTGTAGGCCACCAGAATAAGAGGTCCAGACCCTTTTCTCCGGTAAGAGAAATACTTAGATTAACAATTATGGGTTAAATACTTAAGTCAGAGCTAGCCAGTAAGAAACAAGCAAACAGCCAACAGCTTCATAATTTAAAAAAAAATCACTAAACTTCTCATTGCTAGCCTCTGAAGGGGCACATTTTTAGCTTCTCTGAAGAGTAGCCCATTGTTCGCCATACTCTGGATATGTTTATTGTCTTTTGGCTTGTGACCAAAGAGGGACTTCATAAGATACAATAAAAGTGAGCAATAGCTGCTATCTTGTAGGTGTGCTTTACAGTAAACCTTGCTTTCTAATCTGATTCGTCAAAAAAAAAAAAAAGAACCACTTTGCTGCTCAAAGAAATTGAAACTATAAATATGAAACACAAAAAAAGCACTATAAGTAAATGTAAAATGCTAAATAAAAAAAAATCAGTGATGAGCAAAGGGGTCAAGACCAGGCGGGTGAAACCCACAGAAACTGCTGACCTGAATAAGGGGGAGCTCATGGACCTCAGACTGATGGCTGAGAGGCCAGCACGGGACTGATCCAGACCCTCTAAATTTAAATTTTAAAAAAAGATAAAAAAATCAATTTGACAACATCATCATTTGCATCCCCTTGCTCCTACATGTTGTGAAGTTTCTGGAAGATACATACCATGCCTTCACAGGGGTCGTAGAATCTCTGAATGAGCTGTAGTGCTGTGCTCTTCCCAGATCCACTGGATCCCACCAGAGCTGTCATTTCCCCAGGTTTAATGACCATGTTGAGGTTATTTAAAATCTAGAAGGAAAGAACTTATTTTAAGTTCATAATGTCACTGACCCTTAAACAAGTAGTTAGACCATATATAAGATACTCTGTGAGGATTTATGTATTGTATTTATACCTCTTGCATATGTGTCAGTGTGTGTGTGTGTGTGTGTGTGTGTGTGTGTGTGTGTACTTATGCCCCATGGTACTATCCATATATACTCATCAATCAATAACAAAAGAAGACTGTCTGGAAAAAGGTTTTACCATTAGAATATTGCTTAATAGCTGTGGCCAACAATACAATGATAATGTATTAACACTGGTAAATAAGCAAGGGTCACCTTTAAAATTATGCCTCAGTATGTAATTTAAAATACATCTGACATACTAGGATACCTCAAGGAGTCAATCTCAATTAGTTAAATAAGAAGCTCCTGTAAGTCACAAGTGTAATGATAATTCATAGACCAAGGATCAGAAATAAACCAATTTGTGGATGATATGCTTGAACGGTATAAGAGTATATTACTTGAATAACTTTGCCTAATAAATGTGTGTGCTGTGTTTCTAGGTCTAAAACCCTGTGAAGGGCAAGGACTACATGCCAGGATTAGGATTCAGTTCTGTGAGTATCACAGAAATAGTATCAGTAAAAGGAAATCAGAGATGCTAAGTTCTGGATGAAAGCCAATCATCATTTCAAAGTCAGTTCATTCAAGAGACAAGATGGAGTTTTCTGCAGAGTGGGGTTACCTCTAACACTCTTGCTCTGTGGGTTCTAGAAAACAGTCTATTTCCCTCACCGTGTGCCCTGCACAGTTGCTGAGCAACAGCACCAGGCAGCCTTCCTACAAGGCCTAACGCAGTGAGCAGCCTGGAGAACCTACAGACAGAAGGCAAACCTTTTCACAGCTGCTGGTTCTGCCAGCCACGCTTGCTCCCTCACTATGCTCCACCTTCTGTGGCTTCCAAGGAGGTGGTGACTGGAAGCTATACAACTTGATTGCTTTAATTGACTAGCACAAACCTAGAATGACAGGATCTGCCAGTCATTTCAACAGAGGATCTCATGGTTGACTTAGCCTGAGTCTTGTGCTAGACCGTGTTCCCACCAGAGGGATTTGCACAGTACAGTCATCACTTACAAATGCAGTGTGCCCCTAAGTTGGCACAATATACAAGGACACTTCCAGAGAAACACATCTCTGCCCTCTGTTCCTGGAAATTGAGTCAGCACTGAGAAATCAGTGTAGGTTTTGGATATGAATCACTCAAGAACAACAATAATATTAATAAACCCATCAGGCAAAAGGTCAACACTCACCTTCACTTCTGGTCTAGAAGGGTAGTGGAAGGTCACATTATGGAATTCAATTTCACCTTTGATTCGATCTAGCTTGTATCCTTCTTCTGACATGCAGTCGATGATGGGTTGCTGGAGTGTGATACAAAGATAAAATGATGATGCATGCAATGTGCATTTTGTGTCCATCTTAGGATTAGTTAACTCTCAAAGTAAACTGGGGCTGGAGACATGCATCGGTGGTTATGAGCACTTGTTGCTCTTACAAAGGACCCTGGTGCAGTTACCAGCAGCCCCACGTCACTTATAACTCCATTTCCAGGGGATCTGATGTCTTTTGACTTTCACAGGCACCAAGCATGCAATTGGTGCACATACATACATACAGACAAAATACACAGAAAAGTAAAATGAATAAACCTAATAAAAATTCTTTTAAAAGAAAAATTGTATCTGGGCAAAATATTGCAGAGATATGCTAAAGATAATTTGCTTCCATATTCCATATTTACAGTAGTTATTGTACTAGTCACTGCTGTTGAGATTGCTGAATTATTGTTATATTACTATATATTATATTGAATGTGATATTGATAGAATAGCAGAGAGTAAGTTTTATTTATTTAACTACTACTACTTGCTGAACCACTACTATAAGCTCATATATTACTAATATGATGATAAATTGTTTATTGATATATAATATATAATGTTAATACAGTTAGTATTTGTTGTAATGTATTATATTACACACATTTATTTTACTGAGATGATGAGAGGCAAAGTACAGTTTACATTGTTATGTCCTCATGAACCTGATCTTAAGGCCTTTCCCATCCATCCTTCCAGAATTGCCCTGGATCACTATGTTCATTCACACTGGACTTTCTTAACTCCTTGAGCTCACCAACATCATCATTTGCATTCCCTTGCTCCTACATGGAAGTTTCTCAATCAGGAATTCTTTCTTTGCTCTTAAGTCCCAAGAATTCATTTAAAGATTCCTCCCACTAGCCAGTCAAAGCACTTTGTCCTGTTTTGTCTTCTTTATTGGATTTAGCACTGTCTGATGTTATCTTTAAATGTTTATTTCTTACTGGATGTGGTGGCTCATGCCTTTAACTTCAGCACACACAAGCCTGAGGCAGGTGGATCTTATGACCAGGTCTACATAGCAAGCACCAGTCCAACCAGGACAAGACAGTAAGACCCTGTCTCTATCAATATTATTTCTTTGCATATATCTTCTAGTATGAGTGTGAGAGCAGGAACATATTTGTTCTAACAGATGGGTTCCCAGCTCTTAGAAACTGTGCAGGACATACCTCACTACCTATTTCTTTTGGCTTTTACGCACCCTGTCTATTGTTTGAAAAATGCTGGTGGCTGCTGACCGCCCAGTGGCAAAGACGTCCAAGGAAGAAGATGCATGACCAAAATTTATAGCTGCTACTATGACACAGAGGAAAATCTGAAATGAAGAGAAAAACATAGTGTTCACACATTTTTGTCAGTTTGTAAACAATGCCATTTACCATTTGGAGCATTTTGTGAATTATTGAGATTTCTCAGAAATATTTAAAGTTAAGCAGTTTGCAGGCTTTCTGGAAATATATCGATTATTATTATTATTTTTTTGCTGTGTAAAGCATTTCTCCATAGTGAGCATCACTCTCCTGAAGAGCAGGACTGAGGGAGTGGTGCAAGCAGGCTGAGAAGAATATCTCTTACCTAAACTGCTTTAAGACCACCCTCTCCAGAGAGCCCCCCCTCCACAAAGGAGGTCTTCTTACACCCTGGATCTGGGACCAGCAAACACATTCTGTAAAAGCCCTCTAGTAAATACTTCAGGATCTTCAGGCCAGATGGGTTTGAAACCCACATGTACACACACCATATAGTATGTAACAAGCTTAGCAATGTGTAAATAAATGGCCATGGTTATGTCCCAATAAAGTATATTTTTAAAAAATGGGTAAGGACTGTATTTAGCCCAATGACTATTTTACTGAGTAATTGGAATCTTCAATTGAAAACTAGGGATCAAACCCTTCCTTAGCTTGGCATTATAAACTATTGCCTCAAACAATTTTCTCTATGGGGGTTCTTAGAAAAACCATGAGTGAGAGAAGGCAAGACACATGCCCAATAAGACTATTTTCATGGGAAACATCATAGCTTTAGTCATGTGCATAGGAAGGTAGGAAGAGAGACTATAGGGGCAGGCAATGCCTAGGGCACCCTTCTAGGGAACAGGAGTCTGTGTTCCTTACAACATAGATCTGGAGGAAGGATAATTGGCTACTGGGCCAGGCCTATAGTCACTGAGACATGAGCATCATACTCTATGCCACTTAGCACATATTTCTTAACTGCATGGACATCTTTCATTTTTGTAGTAGTAGAATCATGACGCCAATCACAGAATAAAATTGTGCATACATTAAACACCTCACTCAGTGCCTGTTGCTCTATATACACTGAGTGAATATTATTTTCTATTACTGTCATTATTCTTTACCATTGAAACCTGAACCCTAATTGAAAAACCAAGACTTCACCCTCATTCAGTTCTTCTTCATCTTTCCCTATAGACCAGAAAGCATGTTTTTGTCTGTACACAAGTGATACTAATTACAGTGATCTATGTTAACTGCTTCCATTTACAACCCAATTAAGTCACAAAAATTTTGTGCACCACAAAATGTACTAGTTTAATCTAGTTGTTAGGTGAGTGGGCTAAAAGAACTCAAGAGTATTCAACTTTCATATTCGCTCTGTAGAGGTATATCCAAGATCTCTCTCTCTCTCTCTCTGATACACACACACACACACACACACACACACACACACACACACACATGAGAGAGAGAGAGAGAGAGAGAGACAGAGAGAGAGAGTATCATTAAAGAAAGTATTTTTTCTTCATAAAGATGCATTTATCAAGGCAAGGTGTAACCAGAGGACTATAGGGCAAAGTTGAGAATATGATAATGATTTAAACATTAGAGATACATACACTTTAATTTTCCCACTATGCAAAAATAAATCTAAGTTATGATAATATTAGCACTTCCAAACTATCTTTCAAAATTTATGTAACACTTGAATGTGTGTCATCAGATTCAATACTTTTAAACAAAGTTTGAAGCTGTGCCAGCTATCCATTCTTCAAACACTAAACAATTTTAAAACATTCTGTTGCTTCATTATCTTGCTCAGAGTGATTGGCATTAGATGGTCATCACTACTGACAATGCAAATGCTCCCCAGCTTCCCCTAGGGGTGTGTTTGTAATAAACAGTGAATTTTGAATGACAAAATTTCATGTAGTGAATTCCTGGTATTTTTCGTTGTTCAACTGGTGCCTGTACCACCCACAATCTGAAGCCAAAACATTCTACTTAAAAATCTTCCAAAAAAGCACCCCACCATGAACCTCATAGACCTTACTGTCTGAGGACAGAAAGGGGTAAGGATAGATGTAAATAGATGCAAAAGTTTCCCAACACATAAGCACACTGAAGAAAAAGAATAGAGGCGGTAAAGAGAACTCAAGACTAGATGAGTGTGCAAGACTAGATGAGTGTACAAGGCCTGGCTGGGAAAGGACAGGCAGTCAGTTGCCACCTTCAGAGGAGTTAAGTAAGAAAGGCATTGGGAGGGGCAACAAGAACATTGTTTTCCGCCCCAGACCCATTTGGTGACCCTGATATTTACTATCAGTGTTCCCTACCCTCTATGTTCTAGTCCGAGTCACTGTTTGCCATCATACGCTTACACGATTGGTTAATTAGTCCCTGTCTTTCCCAATGGGACAAAAAGAACCACATCTTTTTTTTCCTGCCCACTGTGCTTTGAATGAACCAGGCATACAGCAGACCCCGGTCAATGCCATGGAGTGCCTAACTGAAAGGACACTGTGAGTTAAAGGAGCTATAGCATTCATGATGGCATGACATCCCACAAATGAATTATGAAATATTCTTGTGTCATTTACTCAGTTGAAAATGTTACTGACTTAACATGTTAATAACCCACAATACATCACAAACACAGCCTGTGGGCACATATCTTGTACTATTACTATCTTCAATTGTACGGCCTGTTCATTTGTAGCTGACAGACCAATGGTTTCCCACTTCTATGGCACATTGTCTTTTGCCATCAGCTGGAGGGTCATTGTCATACAACTGTAAAATCTTTAGCTAATTGGGAGCCATTAAATTGCTGGCCATCAACCCACATGCTCAGTCTCTCTTCCCTAAAGTGTCCTAATATTGTTGGTCCATGAAGATGGACTTCAGCAATCCACCAAGGCTTTCCTGCCTAGGACATTAAAGCAATTATCCTTTTGGCTACTATGACAACTTTTCTGATAAACAAGCAAGAAATACCATATACAGGAAACAAGACCAAAGTACCTGGACCAGTGTCCCTGGTGTGTACTCTTCTTCATCAAGGACTAGTGTGGAGCCGTACCAGAAGGCCAGCGCATAACAAAAAAAAACGAGGCACCACGTGTATCCGGTAAAGAATCCCATCACCATTCCTTTTCTAATTCCCCAGCGCTGGGCAAACACAAGATTTTTCTCATACCTGTAAACATAAAAGGTTTGAATCAATGCCAGCTTGAGCAGCTCTGGGTGTAATATTTAAGATGGGTCATGATGCAGAATTTTATTCAGTGATTATGGTCACACTCAAACAAAGCTACTTAAGTTGGTCACAGCTTGAATGAGGAACAGTGGAATAGCCTTGGCCCCAAGAGAAAACAATGTTTTAACATATGTCTTTGTTTGGCATCTATTACTATTTATGTTTAAAGTGTTTCCTTGGAATGTATTTATCAGGTTCCTGTCAGAAAATAAGGCAATAATTATCTCCAAATCAACAGATTAGACCAGTTACATGGTGAGTTTCAGATCAGCCAGGACTACATAGTGAGACTGTATCTCAAAAAACAAACAAATCAAAAAGCTCAAAATATATTAACTAAATCATAAGAATAAATAAAATCTTTTTTTCTTTTCCAGGACAGGCTTTCTCTGTGTAGCTCTGGCTGCCCTGAAACGGGCTGTGTAGACCAGACTGACCTTGAACTCAGAGACCTACCTGCCTCTGTCTACCAAGTGCTGGGGTTAAAAGTGTGTGCTGCCAACACCTGGCTATAAAATCATATTTTTGACAACTACATCATTCTTGCAAATTAAGTTTTTACTTTCATTAAAAATTAATCCCTAGAATGATATGTCATAATTTATCAGTGTTAATTTTTGTTGGTTGGGAGAGGACACTGTTTTCACAGAATTGACTGTGTGTCTTCTTTCAAACTGTCTACTTAACTCGGTTGCTCATTTTCAAGATGGATTAATCATTATCTTATTAATACCTTTTAAAAAGCTTCTTACATTTTGTCTATACTAGTCCCTTGTCAGATGCACAGTTTACATAGAGCTTCTCCCTTTCTGGCGACTGTCTTTTCTGTGAGGTGTTTCCTTTGTGCCTGGGAGCTTTTCAATGTGGTGTCGTATCATTTGTTCATTTTTTTGCATTTCTGTGCTGTGTAGGCTTTTATTTAATGGCAGAACATGCTTCTGAAGGCTGACATGAATTATATGTACACTTCTACATCATCAGAGTGTGAAATAAGTTTTTTGCCTATCTCAACTCTCTAAAAACCATCTCCAAAAGCATATTGTACAGGGTGTGGTGCACACACCTTTCATTCTGGTACTTAGGTAACCATGACCTCAAGACCACCCTAGTTTATAGCAAGATCCACAGGGGAAAATGAAAACCCAAACATTGCGTTAGAATTTTTAAGGCACTCTTGCCATAAATATTTGTTGACCCAATTCTTTAAAAAAAATGTTCCCTCGTGTTGCTCTAAATGATAGTGGATATGCCACTTTGTACAAGATGGAGAAAGATCAGGAAATTGCACTGATTTATGAAATTCAGGAAACCAACAGATGTTCAGAATAACCAACCTTTCGACCTCTTTATTCTCACCACCAAAGGCAGCCACTGTCCGCATAGATGAAATCACTTCCTCAGCAACAGATCCTGCTTTGGCATAAGCCTTCAATTCCAGCTCCGTGAACTTAGACACACTCTAAAACCCAGAAGGGAAAAAGGAAGGTAGCTTGTCAGTCAACAGTTCATTTAACAAAATGAATAAATGGCATGGTTTAACGGAACACTGGATTGTTGCTGTAACACACGTAGAAAAAAGCTGGTCCAAGATTGGCTTGTGTTAAACATCATCCAAGGGTGTTTGGAGTTTGATATACCAAAATGACATTAAAAATCTATCTCAATGAAAATGTCCTCACGGAGTTAAGTGTCCTCAAGTCTGGTAAGTTTCAGTTGTTATACTAATGAGGTTCCTAAGTCAAACTATGACATACATATTCCATTGCTATTGGAAAGAAACAACTGCAGAATTTACAAACATTAGAGGCAAAGCCTGGAAGTCTATGTAGGCACATGTTTGTCCAGAGTAGAGAATGACAGAATCACAGTACACAGTGACACAGCATTGCAGAGGTAGTTCCACAGGAGAAAGCATCAGGTAAATATTTTGACTCAAATATAAAGGGTTTGCTAAATTCTAAATTTTTACAAAAGAAAAAGACAACTGTGTTTGGTAGTTTGTTTTTTGTTTTATTTTTCTTTTTTTGGTTTTACGAGACAGGGTTTCTCTGTATTGTTTTGGAGGCTGTCGGTCCAGCCTAGCCTCGAACTCACAGAGATCCGCCTGCCTCTGCCTCCCGAGTTCCCAAGTGCTGGGATTAAACGTGTGTACCACCACCACCCGGCTATTTGGTAGTTTTTAAAAATTTTACTTGAGGGCAATCATTCCATCTCTCAGGTGTGAAGACACAGTGTGTGACCTACAGATATGTGTATATCAATTTATCACAGGTTTGAAGAAAAATATTAAACAAATATAGAAAGGAAAATAAAAACCGAACAATTTTTTTCAGAACCCATTGGGGTCTTCAGTGGAATTTGAGGCTCTCTGGAGCAAGGTAGGAAAGAGGTTTGCAGGAAAGTCAGTTGCAAAGCATGCAAGGTCTTGTGGGTTTTAAAAATAATAAAATATGTTTTAACAGGTTTTTTTGTGTGTGTGTGCCAGATGGTACCCCGAGGGAATTATCACATGATTTAGACTGTTATCCCTGTATCAAAAACAATGGAACTGAGATTCTGAAGGGTTAAATGTGTTATTCTTCAGCCATATATGCTTGGGAGTGAGTTCTTTGCTATTTTTCCATATTGGCTGGGAAGTCTTTGAGTCATCGGTGGCTGTATGAACGCTTTACTAGAAACAACCACTATGGTGATTAACAGCTGCTGTTCAATGATGTCTAAGTACTGCTTTGAATTCTATCTATAGTAAACCCCTAGCATGCCTCATGTCATGACTTGTGATCTAAAGATTTCTTTTTTTAATGTGTTCTGTCGGGCAGTGGTGGCATATGCCTTTAGTCCCAGCACTCAGGAGGCAGAGGCAGGTGGATCTTTGAGTTCGAGACCAGCCTGGTCTACAAGAGCTAGTTCCAGAACAGCCTCCAAAGCCACAGAGAAACCCTGCCCCCCCAAAAAAAACCAATAAATAAATAAATATAAAAATTTAAAAATGTTTTCTATAGATAAAAAACGGTAATTCCTCAAGCCAGGGAAGACTTTTAGCTGCAGTGACCCCAAACTCCTATTCCTACACTTGGGTGTGGAGAACTGAAGTGAGGGACAGACACTACCAGAGCTGACACTCAGAGTGAATCCACAGAGCCAGAAGGCAGGAGTCTCTTTGGGTACTTATCACTGATCTCTGCGTTCTTTTGCCTTTTTGAGCGTCTAAGCATGGGGAGCAGCAGGACTGCTTCAGATGGGTTGGATCAGCATCAGGCTCCCCTCAACATCTAGTTGCGAAGTCCAAGTCCTAGATAGCACCCTTTGCTTCTCTGAGTTCCATTTATTGAACCGTAAATGGTGTTAGCCCTTTCCTTCTGAGTAAGAATTAGGGATGCTGAGTGCGGAAACCCTTTAAAAAGTTCCTGGCTAAATCAAAGATGCTTAATAAATGCAGTGGAGTGCTCTTAGCCAAATGATAAATAACCTGACTAAAACATCATTAATTCATATTTTGTGGAGCATTGTTTAATACTGAGGAATAATCAAACATTAGAAATCAATATAATGATAATCACATTGACTACGCTTGGGGAAGAGACCCAAGCGTTATGTTTTGGACCATAAGTGTACATCTGTCCATGGAGCAAAATAAAAATGAATTAAAAACATTCTTACCAGACCTATGATGGCTGCTCCAAACCCAATGAGAGGACTGACAGAAAGAATAACCAAGGTCAGTTTCCAACCCCTGTAGAACCCTATCAGGAACCCACAGATGGCTGTTGACATGCGCTGAATAAAGAGGGCCAGCTGGTCGGCAATGGCTTCATTGATTTTATTAATATCACTAGAAACAAGAAGGAAAGGGGCAGATCAACACAACTGAAACAGTTCTTTCTCTCTTTCTCTTATGTCTCCGCCCACTGTGGCTCTTTAGCAAGAAGTGGGGACTACTTCTTAAACATTCAAACATTTCTCACACCTTGGAATGTTACAATGCTTTCCTTACAGTCAGCGCTCTCTCTCTCTCTCTCTCTCTCTCTCTCTCTCTCTCTCTCTCTCTCTCTCTCTCTCTCTCTCTCTCTCTCTCTCTCTCTCTCTCTCTCCCCCTCTGTGTGTGTGTATGTGTGTGTGTGTGTGTGTGTGTGTGTGGTGTGTGTGTGTGTTAACTTTCAAGCTGATGTGGCTTCCTGAAACTCTGGATCGTCCCCAGGAAAAACTCATACTGCCTCCCCATGTCTCCAAAGCAAAGTGATTAATCTGTATACGTGTGTACGTACATCTGTCTGTCTGTATATCCGTCTTTCTCTATATATGTCTGATATGTATGTGTGTGTATGTGCCTGTCTGTCTGTATATAACTGTTTCTATGTTTATTACATTCTATTTGTTGGCAGTTGAGACTAGAGGCTAAGAACACAGACTCTGGGACCACACTCCAAATTTGAATGCAAGCTCTTCCTAGGAAAATTAAAAAATTTTTTGCATCAGTTTCCTCATCTATAAAAAGATGATAATAGCAGAATCCAACATAGTGTCCAGTAATTAGAGTCAAACTAATTAATACACTCAAGTATATAGAACAATACTCAGCATAATTAGCAGCCACCATGTGTTACTTTGGATCACTTTTTTGTTTGCTCATCTTACACTTCTGACCAGGCTTCTAGTTATTCCAGAGCTTCCGGGCAGGGAATGTAGAGAATTGCACAATATTGGTTGAATACGACTGCATTAAACTCATAAGCCTGAGAGCATTCCCTTAATCTCTTGTCTAGGTGGAGCAAACAGGGGTTGGTATTTAATAACATGAAGGAACCCAAGACATTACCCAGCAGACAACCATTGTCTTCTAGTGGTGTTAAGCATCTGTTGATGCTCACAGAGAGTGAACAGAAAGTTAAGTTTTGGACTCTAAAGTGCCTGAACTTCCACTCCCCCCTACTTTTGTTACTGGCAGACAGGATCTGAACCGGGTATTTCCTAGTTCTTAGCCTCTTATCCAGAGAACTGAAAATAAGGGCAAAAGAAGCAAGACCCCTTTATTTGGACTTTAGTGATAGCACAGAGTACAGAGAATATACTGTCAAGACTGGCAGCAGGCCACATAGTTGAGAGTGCTCAGCAGTCCCGTGTCACATGGCCTGGGATCTGTTTTTATGAGATCTAAAGAAAAGAGGGGCTGGTTACTAAGGGGCATAGTTTGGATGGCTCTCTATTTTTATTGTTAAATCAGAGCATTATTTTTTTCCTCCTACTTTTCATGTCTCTTCCTACATTGTGTCTGACTTTATCATATGTGTGCCCAATTATGCACAGGCATACGGTTGTAAATAGAGCATTGTCCCTGAAGTTTACCCAAGGACAGTTTTGTTTACTGAACAGGTTCTTAAAAGCGCTTCAGGTCCTTCTATTCTTCACACCCTGATATACTTTCAGCAGAAACTGCCCAAGTTTGATGGTTGCTAGGGGAGGAGAAACTTATCCCATTGTTCAGAGAGATCTATACACATAGCTGATACAGGTGGGGGTCCAGGGTTGCTAGGTGCATTGCTTAGAGAGGTAGGGGTGTGTGTGTGTGTGTGTGTGTGTGTGTGTGTGTGTGTGTGTGTGGCTAAGCTGCCAAGTACATTCATTACTGGAAGAGGGAAGGTATGTATAATCCAAACCAAACACAGTCCCGAGTTACTGCGCCTTTCACGCTTGCCTGCCTCATCTCCACAGTGACTTTAGCAAGGCTTCAAAGTTCAGTTCCAAAGGGTCCAACTACTGTAAGCTGTTTGGGGGTCTTTTGTTTATTTTTTGATTTTTGTTTTTGTTGTTGTTAATTTCTTAAGCTACTTTTAGAAATTATTTTTTGGGTTTGTTTCTGTGCCTCCATAGACATAGCAAAATAATTACTTCCAAGTGCACTTTTTCCATGTCGTATGTAGGTTTCCGTAGCCATCTCTCAGTTTCACCTTGTGTCAAATAACGACGCATATCTAAACTCTCTCCTGTAATAATTCATGTCTAAGAGTTTGACCAATGATCTATAAACAAATCTGTAATACCCTGTCTATTTTAGTAACCCTGTTATAAACTATTATCTACAAACATGCCATACCTATGAAAGTCTAATTCATGTTTATTTATTTATTTGATAGTTTTTAAACCAAGGTGTCATGTAGCCCAGGCTGGCCCTGAATACCCTGTATAAACAACAGTGGCCTTGAACTTCCGCCTCCACCTTTCACCTGCTGGACTAACAAGCCCTGAACTTGTAACTATGGGATTGTTTTTTGTTTTCTTTTGTCGCGTCTGCTGCGCGGCCTGTGTCCGAGAACGTGCGGAGGGTGTCGGGGATTGACAACACAGAGACTCGTTCAACGATGTAAAGAAAACTTTAAGCAGGCTCCAAAAAGGTTCAAGAAAACTTCCTAAGAAAGGCTCCCACCAGAGAAGCTTCTGCTCTCTCCTCTACCCTGGCTGGTTCTGCTCTCACCCCAGAAACTGATCTGGGCGTGGCAGAAGAGGCGGTTAGTCTCTGGACAAGGTCGAGCTCAGGGTGGTTTCTGCGGGCAGGCCTTTTCCAGGAACTTAATGCCCCCAGGCATTGTATTGTTTTTAGTAAACATTGTCTTACAGCTGCCTACTCCCAGGCAGAAGGGGAAGTGGGTCTCTGCTCAAGGTCTGGTGTTCCCACATTCTTTGTTTTTTTTTTTAATCAAAACGATACATTATGACGAAGTTGTACCAGCTACTTACTCGGAGAATCTTGAATTCAGCTCTCCCACAGAAGTGCAGTCAAACCATCCAATCTCCATCCTCATTATGTTCCGAAAGTACACTTTCCTCATTTTCTTTATTTGACGAGCCCCGGTGATTACCCAAAATCGTATCTGGAAGTCGACAAAGGCGTGTTTAGCATTGCAGCATTAAGCACACCTGTTTACTCTTTCTCCTAGTTCTGAAAACTAGCCACTTCCCATGGTTATGGTTGGGAAGCTGAAAAGAAGAGAGGGCCATTCACAAAGAGCCTCTTCCGGGGCACTGAGGTATGAGCTCTGACGCCCCCTGCTAATAGGGAGGAGAGCAAACATTTGCAGGGGTGACCGGAGATCGGGCTTTGACTCCACTTCCGGCAGGTGGGCAAGCCACTGCCTTTGAATGTTGCGTTTCACTGTCCACATCAAGTAGAACAGGTCTGAAGCGCCCACACTAGGACACTGATACTCTACATTCATCCTTTTACACACACTTCTCCGCTTTCTCCCTGTCTATCAGCGCCCCCAGGCATCCATGTCCAAAACTGATTTGAGGACAAGATAAGCCAAAAATTGTGATCAAAGCAGGGAGTCTCATTTGCTGATTGATTCCCTTAATTACAAAAAAAAAAAAAAAAAAATAGGTATCATGACAACCGGAGCCACAATAAGAGAAATGGTTCCGTTTCTCTTTACAACTAATGTTACCTGGAATCCTTTGATAAGTGAAGCAGAGGATTCATTACCTTTGTTTCTACAGAAGGTGGCAAAATGTGAAATATTTTTCTTCTTTAATGAAGTTTAAGTAACCTTAAACCCTTCTATCGTTTAAGACTAGAAAATCTGATGCAGAATTACAGAATTGGGCCTGGAATGTCATTCCGTTAGACCTCAGCAAAGAAAGAAAGGGAATGTACTCTTTGTGCTCTTAATCTCTCAATGCCCAGCTTTCTCCATGCTGCTCAGCTTCGCCTACAGATACACAGCAGCTCTTCATTCCTGGGCTGAGAAGAGCGGGCACATAGGGGCGGTCAGGGAGGCAGAGCATCGCTGGACAAGGCTACTCGCTGTTTCCCAGCGCCATGGCTTGCATCCCGCTCAGCTGTCTGCTGAACCTTCCCTCTCTATCTCACTTCCTAAGTAGAATTGCAGTTCTTAGGGCTTCTGAGCAGTTTAAAAGCTAAAAGCAACATTTCCTGTTTCATCGTGGTGTCTACGAGGTCATATGTTGGTTTGTAAATAAAACAGAGGTGCTACTAACTTGAATGTATGCTAGAATAAATACAGCCACACCGACTCCTGCGTAGAGGCCAGAGTACTTAATCATTTCACTTTCGATGTCCAACAACCTTAAAAAGAGGGAAAAGTACTGAGATTTACAAGTAGGATCCAGTTATCAAAGGTTGCATCAGTAAGTTTAGAGGGTTTTAACATAAACTTACTACACATTTCTCTCAACTAGGGGAAGGCGTTGTGTTTCATCAACGTAGCATTATAAACGATCTAGTCAAATCCCTAAATAGAGCTTACAGCACCAATTACACCACAAACATGTTCACCCTTTTTATTTTCTTACAATAATACATTGCACAATAATACATGGCAATTTCTAGAAGAGACTGGACCCAAAGGAACTCAGGGGGGCCCCTTTCCTCGTTCATATGCAGAGAAAAAATTTAACCCCAGTTGGGCTGCCTGGAAGGATAATTCTAGACAGAAACGAACTGTCAACCAAGAGCTTACTGTTCACCCCTGTGGGAAAGTTAGCCAGCTTTTCACAGTGGCATTTTAAAATGTGGTTGTTCTGTTCCTATGGGCCAGAGAAAGCCCCTCCCATAGACCTAGCTTTCTGCTGGCTACAGTCCACGACGATGCTCTCACTATGATCAACTCAGGAGTGGAAGAAGAAATAAGACTGGGAACCCTAAGTCTCTCTCTCTCTCTCTCTCTCTCTCTCTCTCTCTCTCTCTCTCTCTCTCTCTCTCTCTCTCTGTCCCTCTGTCCCTCCGTCCCTCCCTCCCTCCCTCCCTCTCTCTCTCTCCCCTTCTCTCTCTCCTCCGACAGATATGTGGTGCTGTGACATGCCAGGAAACAAACAAGGGATTTTTGTAAAGTGAAAATGAGCAATTTTTGTTGATAATGACGCCGGCTTTAACAACTAGCTAAATGGCACCGATCCCCCTTATTTAGGAAAGGAAAGGAGAGGTTCTTCAGTGCACATGCCCGATCCTGAATGATTCCAGCTGTCACTGTCCCCGGATAACCTGAGTTTGCCTTGATTAGAAAGGGTTATTTCTCGTTTATATGCTGTGCTTCAGATTTCAAGTCTAAAATCTCGTTGTCTAGCCTAGAACATAAAAGTAATCTCAAATACAGCTATAAAAATTGAGAGTTTAAAAAAATATTTAAGTCATTGGGTCTCTTGAGTTCACTTTCTTACAGCTCTTATTTTTATTCCCCATGAATCCCTAGTTGCCCTGATATCACATAAGAAGTTATCAGTAGTGGTGGCACACGCCTTTAATCCCAGCACTAGGGAGGCAGAGGCAGGAGTTTGAGGCCAGCCTGGACTACAAGAGCTAGTTCCAGGACAGCCTCCAAAGCTACACAGAGAAACCCTGTCTCAAAACAACAACAATAACAAAAACCAAGCAGCAATAACAAAAACCAAAATAAAAAAGAAGTTATCTTTCCTCCATTGAATTTCTTTCCATCCTTATTTTTTTTTTTTTTTTACGAGACAGGGTTTCTCTGTATTGTTTCGGAGGCTATCGGTCCAGTCAGGCCTCGAACTCACAGAGATCCGCCTGCCTCTGCCTCCCGAGTGCTGGGGATTAAAGGCGTGCGCCACCACCGCCCGGCTTTTCCATCCTTATTTTAAAAATAACAGATGTACTTATTTTTGTGAACAGATTTCTGAATATTGTCTGTCCTCCACCACTACCCTACAGTCTCTATTATTGTAGCTACAATTAATATTGAAAATTGTTAGTTTTTTTATTTTCAATGAATTTGGTTCTAGTTTTGTTGTTGTTTTTAAATACATATTTTAAAGTAATCCTGCCTGTATTGTAACCCAAGTAAGTGTCTGACAATTCCTCAGTGAAGAAAATATAGCATATATACACTGTAGAATACTATTTAGTGTTCCAAAAGAGGGGACATCTGTCAGCTGGAAGGCATTTTGTGAAGTGAAATAAACCAGACACAGGAAGTGACATCATGAAATCTCTCTTGTACAGAGAGTCTGAAAGAGTGGAATCCACAGGAAAGAATAAAATGGTGGTACCCAGGAACTGGGAGTGAGGAAACCAGGAGGGTTTCTTTTTTTATTTTCTTTACTTTGGGGGGGGGCAGTAGAGAGGCTCAATACAGGGTTTTTCTGTGTAGTCCTAGTTATCCTGGAACTCTCTCTGTAGACCAGACTGGCCTCAAACTCACAGAGATACCCCTGCCTCTGCCTCCCAAGTGCTGGGATTAAAATTGTGTGCCACCACCACCCAGCGAAACCAGGAGACATTTATCAAAAGACAGAAAATTTGGTAGCAAAGGGAGAAAGTGTAAGAGTTCTATTGTGCAGCACAGCTATTATAGTTAGTAACTGTGTCTGTGTGTACTTGAGAATGCTAAAGGAGGGTTTTGAGTGTTTTCATCACAAAAAGTATATATAATGATATATATGTTAATTAGGGTAACTTAACCACCCCACAATGTATATGCATGTCAAAATACCTCGTACAAAAATATACATGCAATTTTAATGTATTAATTCAAAAGTTAGTCAAGGAATAGTAACAAAAAATAATCAGAACAGATCTATACTCAGCAAAGAGACTGAATCAACAATCAAAACCAGTCAGCAAGGGAACACCTAGATGGCTTCATTGATAAATTTTACCAAAATAGTTAACTATCGATACCATTTATTTTAAAGCTTAAAAAAGTCGACTTGAAAGAAACACTTCCAAATTCACTTTGAGTCCAGTGTTACGTCATCCCAAAAGAACAACAACAAAGCACACGCTGATATGTACAAACACACACACACACACACACACACACACACACACACACATCCTCAGCTAAATACCAACAAATTCATTCTTGGAGCGCACTAACAGGATCACGCATGTTACTAAGTACAAGGTATTCTTGGTGATCCAACATATGAAAGTCAACCAATAATATACGCCATATGAATATAATGCCCAAAACCCCATGGTCTCCTTAATACGGAAGTTTTTGACGAAACTCCACACCTGTTAATTATTAATAATGATTAAAAGCTCCTCAAAACCAGGAATAGAAGGCAACCCTCTCAAATAAGATAAAAGGCCCTTGCGGAAACCTACAGCTAGTACACCCTCGGTGGTGAAAGACTTCACCCCAGAGTCAAGACAAAGACAAGAGTGCATAGTCTCACAGCTCCTCCTACTCAACCCTGTCTGGGAAGACAGGCTCAGAGCAACTACACAAGAAAAATAAATAAATCTAAGAATAGAGCATCTAGTGAGAGATGAAATACTGTTGTCTCTATCAGATGGCATGATCTTCTATAGGAAGTTCTAAAGAATCCACTAGAAACCTATTGGTACTAATAAATAGGACAACAAGATTGTAGAAGTCAAGATCAGCACTATAATAAATTGTATAGAACAGCAGCAAAAAACCCGCCATACAATTGAGGAAATTAGTCTGTTATTATTATAGTAGCACCAAAAAAGAACAGAATACTTAGCAAACAGATTTAATAATAGTACAGACTTCATATGGACATCCCCATGGAGGGCCTCACCCTCCCTGGGGAAATGAGGGGATAATGGGGGAGAGGTTGGGGGTGGGCACGGGAGTAGGAGAGGGAAAGGGAGAGGGACCTGGAACTGACTTGTGAAGCAACCTTGTTTCTTATCTAAATTTAAACTGAAAAATAAATTTAAAAAATAAAAAAGAAACAGTTAAAAAAGAAAATCCAAAAAAATTATAAAACCTTCTTGAAATTAAAAGCAACTAAAATGACTGGATCACAGACTTACTATGGAGAGAACAATATTCCCCCAGATTGGTTCACAGATTCCATGCAACCCCAGTTTGCAACACTTATTCAATTCTAGGTATAAGACCTGGTAAGAAGGAACCCATGTGTGGTGGTAGCAACAGGAAATTCTTTGCTTATCAATCAATGCCTGTGGTGTAAACACCAAAGCTACATTTGTTCTCCAGGTCACCTAACAAGTATCTATGGGCAGCTAATGTGCTGGAAGTGTCTTGCATTTTGACCTAACATTTATTTTCAGAATTTAATGGCCCAGTGTTATCAATGGCTATGATGGTATCATTCTCAAAGTATTTAAATTCTGCCCTCCAAAAGAAATGGAGAGCTTTAACGTGCTTGTTGAAATTGTCCTCCTTATAGGAACTGCTGGATCCCTCAGAAGAAAATACCCCTACAAGCTTAGAGGAAGAGTCAAATTCAGAAGCCAGCTTGCTAATTTTTAAATTTACCTTTTAAAATGCCTATGTACGGTATATACAAGTATATATGTTCACATGTGCATGTGTGTGAGGGGATGCACACATACATTTCCACCCTATTTTTGAGCCAGGGTCTCTTGCCACTCCTGGAGCTCACTGACTGCCTAGGCTGATGGGCCAGCAAGCTTTGGGCAGTTTTGTCTCTCTCTGCCCTTTCCTTCAGCTCTGGGCTTGCAGAGGCAGACGCTGTCATTCCTGATTGTTTTAGATGTTTATCATTATTATTAATTAAACTTATTCATTTATTTTACATCCCATCTACAGTTTCCTCTCCTTCCTCTCCTCCCATTCCCTCCCCAAACCTCACTCCCACCTCCCTCTAACTACTCCTCCTATGTTTCTGCTCAGAAAGGAGTAGGCCTCCCTTTACTTTTGGGACTCTTAGTAATGGAAGCAAAGCCTGTCCCTAACACTTTGGCTGGCTTTCAGAAACCTATTCCTTATACTGGGTCACCTTACCAGCCTTGATACAAGGGAGGATCTTAGTCCTACCTCAACTTGATATGTCACTCCTGATTTTTATGTGGGTGCCAGGGATATGAACTCAGGTCCTCATGTTTACATAGAGATCACTATACCCAGTAAGTGATCTCCCCAGCCTCTGCTTAGTAATTTTTAAAGGGTAGTTCTATGCATTGCCTACAATTTTGTGCTTCTTTATTATCTAGCACTACTAGTTTATAACTAATATTTTTATGAATGATCACTGAATGAATGACTGTCTGGTTGACTAGACCAGCTCTGCAAAACCAAGGATGTGACTCACAGGATAGTGTGTCCCTGACATTTCTACAAGTTCGTGTTGCTTAACTGACACTCAAAGTGTTTTGATTGGTGGAATGAAAACCCCTCCAAGTGGATGACATCATAAAAGAATATTAATGATTTAAAAAGACCCATAATTTAAACCAACCCAATCAGCATCTTCAAAAATTAATATTGAGGAAGCCATCCCAAGTGTCTTTCTAAGAAGGACATGCCCTTCCTTTGACTTATGAGCCTGGGCATATGAATTCATATGTGCTGATGAGCTTGTTCTGCATCTAAGGCAGGTGAAAGTCCATACCACAACAGAGAGTCAGCACATGTGTGCTATGGATTCACTGATTACAAAGTGATCTGTTGGGTGTATCTCAGAGACCATGGTAGTCTGAGTTCTGGCTATTTCTTCAGGGCCATCTTCTTTTCATGTACCAACCACTTTTCTATGGAAACTTAACTACTAGCTGTAACTATTGATTCCTATTCCTCTAATGTAGCATTCACATGAAACACATGGAGAGGGGACAAAGCCAAAAGGCAAAACCAGGTTAAGTGGGGAAGGGCCTTTTGTCTAGGAGACTCAAGTGAAATTCAGTTCTCTCCTTAGTGGCAATAAATGTGGACAGTGTTATGCTCAGACATATAGTTACTTGTTGCTGTAGTATTTGATCAGCAATGTCTGTTGACATTTTGAGACCTGGAAGAACAGAAAGAACTGCAAAATTAAAGAGTTTCTATCAACAGGGATAAGTTTGTTTTTCTGTTCTTTTGTATTAGATGTCATTCCAACTCAGCCAATATTGTCTTTGGATGTTTTGGATTATAATTTAAGATATAACAAAAAGAAAAACCGCTTACCCACAGCGTGTTCCATTTGTCATGTTCTGGTTGAAGGAGCTGTTGATCCATACAATGGTGTTATTTATACACACTTTTCCTGGAATCTCCAGTTCTTGCCTTTCAATGTCATACTCAATAAAAACATCTATCATCATACCAAAAACAATAAGTATGGCTGGCTGGGCTATTCCATGGAGAAATGCACACAGACTTCCCATAAACATCAGACAAATGTCAGTCGATGAAGAAAATCGAAACTTGAAAAACAAAGGGTTCAGAGATTGTTTATATATGAAAAGCAGGTGAGGTAGAAGGTCTATTTAATTTCACTTCAATTTTGATAAACAGCACTCAACACCAGGTGCTTGTGGACATCATGTTTAAGTAGTTATCTTCACACTGATTACATAGAAGTACTATCCATCAATTGTCTAAAACATTTCTTGCATTGCATCCAAATCTTTTGAATCTGTTCTCCTGAGGTCAGGGGCTGATTTCACTACCTTTCAAGTCATCATCGCAGATGCCATTACCAGGTAGTTATACTGTGTGAGCATTCAACAAGGCAATAAGATGGCTCTCTGCTCAAAGAACCCATGTGGACAATGGCTAAATCTTTGCTTTGAAGTGCCTCCATCCTGTACCAATTTGAGGTAACTCCCTAAGCTGTGGGATTTCTAAATTTCTAAAGACTTCTCATAAGAATGGCTATATATGATCTATTGCTTTGGGAGTTATTGTGATGGTTTTCCTTATCAAAATTATAATTGTGAGTCCACTGATTTTATTCCAAATGGTTATGCTGATATTGAACATGACTTGTGAGTTTACTGAGCAATGATTTTTCTAATCACTATTCAGCATGCTACCACACAGGTGAAGCTCATGACTTCATGGCTGATCATTAGAGTTAGATCCTGCCAATATGACTAAAGAGATGGCACTTTCTCAGGGGGTATGAATCATTCAGTTGCAAAATCAACCAAATAAATCAGCATGGTTGTATTACCAGTTGAAAGAAGCCAATTTGAATGTTTTCACCTTTCTTTTTCTCTTGTGACCTGAGGAGAAAAACAGGTATTTAAAGGTCTTTTTCCCAAAATCAATGAGAAATTCTCCCTACTCGGCACTTCCAGAGTCATTATTTAATAAGAAAAAAATGTCCCCTCTGGTCGGGAAATTCTGGCCAAACCCAGTATTTTGATGTAGATGGCACACATGAACTTTCAACAGCTGTGGGTGCCTGACCGAGACCTGCACGGGGTCACTCCAGTCACCACTACAACATGGATGGGGAAAGGTTTCACAAGGCCCCACACCTAGTTAGGAAGCTACAGGCAATCAGGGGCACCTGAAGGTGTGTGAGGGGGTGTGCTTTCTTCACGAATAAGACCCTTAGAAAATTGCCCATACTCCAGTGTCAGCCACAGACCCATGCGTATATAGGCAACATTAACTGGAATCAGAGGAGATATCAGACATACATACTCTAGTTCTTGTGAAGGCAGTCACCCACCTTTGACAGTGTCCTATCTCCCAAAACGTCCTCTCTTAGACACCTATATGGACAGTTACTCTAACTTGGGGTTCTCACTCCAAGTCTCCTCATCCTCCTCGGCAGGGCATTCCCTGGCTAAGATGGTTTAAATTTCAATAATATCTGCCCTGCAATCCACATCCCATCTTAAATCTTCATTTCCAATTCACTCCTTTATTAGAAAAAAAAAGTTATATGCTCTCAGTAGCTACCGTGTAATATGTTTTCTAAATGTATACTGTTTATTCTACCTTCCTATTAATGTACCCTCCTCATGAGCTTCTGGGGGGAATGTGCTACTGTGATTCTGCAAACAAAGCATAGCACTAATGACTGCTAAGGACACGGTGCTATACCCATTGGCCCAGAGCAAGGCTCAGCCCTCATCCGAGGAACTTCTTCTTGCAGTAGATGGAAATTTACACAGAGGACAACCTGAAAAGAGGAAGAGGCTTCGGAGCACTCAGCCCTAAATGGGATGTCTTCATCAAAGCCCTGCCCTCAAGGCCTTGGGAAGAAGAGAGGCAGAAAGATTTAAGAGCCAGAGGTGATGTAGTACTCTAAGGAACACAACAGGACTGCTGCACATGTGAACTCTCAGAGGCTGTGTCAGCACACAAGACAGGCACAGGGTCAATTCAGACAGGGTCCCAACACTGAAAGGATGAAGAGGACACAGGATCTCACCCTTAACAAAGGAGCTATTATGAGTGCTGCTGGGTGCACACCTTTAATCCCAGCATGGGGGGGGGGGCGGAGGCTTTGTGAAGCCAGCAGAGTCCACAAAGTGAGTTTCAGACAAGCCCAGGGCTACACAGAGAAACCCTGTCTTGAAAAACAAACAAAACAGAGAAGCTATCGCCATCGATGCCTTTTAGCAAAGGGAAAATCCATCTGTGTGTCGCTGGGTGTGTATCACTGGGCATATATTCCAAGGCAAGCCCCATGCCCAGGAATAGCTGACTGACACAAAGCAAATTCCGTAATAATTTGTTGTGCGCTTTTAAACTTCCTTTTATTTATTTATTTATTGACATTTTGGGCCTTATTGGATTTTTTGTTTGATTGATTTGATTTTCATTTTTATAAGTTTTTTAGAGAGAGAGAGAAGACATGAAGTTGTGTGGGTAGGGAGATGGGGAGGACGTGGTAGGATTTGGAGGGAAAAAACGTGATCAAAATATGTTGTGTGAAAAAAGATGAGTGAAAAAAATAAAACGACCTCCTCTAGGTGAGGGAGTGACTCTGTTTCTTTTCTGCCCTCCCAGTGGGACGTCCAGAGGACCAGGGCCACCTGATTCCTTCTAACCCAGAGTTAATCATACCACAGCTATCAACTTCTTCTGTCACGAAATACTCCACACTTCTTAAAGTAACCTTCCCCATGTGAGGGATTCACATGGTGCCTCTGTTCACGTGATGCGAACCCCATCGAATCCTGCCCCATACACAGTTTATATGTCAATTCAAGTGCTCAGGAGAAAGCTCTGAGAGTTCAATCTTAGGATTGTACAGTCACCTCTCAAGGGTAGGGATGAAGTTGGAGACCTCATTGTGGTGATATTTTGTTTGTGTTTTAACGCTAAGCCACTAGAGGCCAGGCAGTGGTGGCGCACATCTTTACTCTTAGTGCTTCGGGGATAGAGTTCAAGGACACCCTGGGCTACACGAAATTGAAGCAGTCTAAAAGAGAAACAGAGCTCACACGAAGGTGATCCCGGCACTTGGGATCACACGCCTTTAATCCCAGCACTAGGGAGGTGGAGGCAGGAGTGATATAGCTGAGCGGAGAGAGGAATATAAGGCAGGGCAGTCAGTCTGAGGATGCAGTCTGAGGAGCATTCATTCTGGAGCGGTTAGTCTGAAGATGGGCAGGATTGCCGCTTCGGTCTGAGCATTGGTGGAGGTAAGAACTCCAGTGGCTGGCCGCTCTGCTTCTCCGATCCTTCAGCTGACTCCGAGTTTTTGTTACTAAGCCCTATTAGAACCCGTGCTCCACCTCCTAGCACTCATGAAATCGTACTATTGTCCCACTCTTTCCTGATTGTCTGGTGGGCTGGGATGCACGGGAAGAAGCCTGGGATAATCAGGAAGGGATATCCCGCGAGACTTTAAGGAGAAGCATCAAGCATGGGAAGCTGCGTGTATGGAAACGCTCTGCTCTGTGTTTGCAGGCACACTCTGAAGCCATCATAGAGAAGATGCTGTGCTGCTGGAATGGCCACTCACCTTGGTTTCTTATCATTGTTATCTGTCAGGATGAAAACAATGTATGAAGAGGTTAATCAAATCATGTCCAAATGCAACACGATCGTAATCATTAGTCAACCAAAAGCAATTCTAAGAAGTACTTTTACTCATGAACTAATATAAAATAATTGTTAATTATCTCTTATCTTTTTCTCTCTTTCTCTCCCTCCCTCTTTCTCTCTCTCTCCCTCCCTCCTGCTGCTTTGACCATATATATATTGGGATTTTTCTCCAGATCACAAAATATTTGTATTTTCTGAATATCAAAAGGGAGTTTTTTTTTCTTTTTGAGACAAACTCTCTCACTCTGTAATGCAAGCTGGCCACCTGGGAACTCTGTAGTCCATGGTGGCCTCAAACTCAGACTCATGGCAATTCTCCTGCTTCAGTCTCCCAAGGGCTGGAATTGCAGATGTGAGCCACCATGTTGATGGAAGTTTCCATAATTTCTAAATTACTGAAGTGAATATGATTATTTAAAATTAATCGCTGTGATAGGAATTAATTTATTGTTGATTCCTTAGAAACATCAAAATCTTTCTATTTTATAGATCCCAGATCAACTGTAAAGTGTCTCTAATACTTCATCACCACCAGAACCTATGAGATGGAGATACAGGTTGTTTTTGTCAGCACATGCAGGGCAAATGTCAGTAGGAAATGCAAGTAGTTGTCTACAGGGACATAAGGAAGCCACAGAGAAAAGAACCCTAAGGAATAATTGTTACCACAGCCATCATTTCCTGGTTCCTCTGACATTTTTAATACAATTGCAGTAAGACTAAAGACAACATTACAGTGTAGATACAGGGCTTGAGAATCAGAAAACTGGATTAAAAATGTGATTACATGAATCATAACTCATGGGATTTTTATCCAACTTTAGAAAAAGGTTTGCAAAGTCTTAATTTCTCTATCAGTATAATGTAGAAGCATATGATTTAATCAGTGCATGGCAGCTTAGAGTGTATGCTCACAACATGCCAGGGACTAATGCTGCAGTGACCCTCCCACAAGCTCTCATTCTTGCCAGGAGCAGAAACCTTAACTATTATGTTGCCACAGTGATCAGTAATGATACAGGATAAAGTTATTGTAAAGGCCAGGGCTGAACAACCCTACACTACCTAGGAAGGAGGTTCTTATGGGAGATGCTTCCACTTGCTCCCATATTGTACATTCCAATACAGAGCTTTCAGACATGCCATGACATGGACTCCAGAGAAAGCTCACTGGTTGGCTGTCAGGTGTATGCCCAACAATAAATCCTCATGCTGTATCTGACTTTTCTCTGTCTTGAAACCTCATAGGGTTGGTCTCATTTGTGTCTTTACTTTTCTTTGCACAAGACTCGAGTGAATCCAAAGGCCACTTACATGATCCATCTGATTCAAAAGCATGATTCTCCTCTCCAAATTTTTTCACACTGCGAAGAATTACCGAGTCAGACATGGTGTTTGCAATCTGCACTCACCAACCTGTGAAATGAAACAATTGCTGCCATTATCATATATTTTCTCTTTCACAAAAGTAGGCAAATATACAAGCTTCTGTAAACAATGTCAAACGAAAGCAGACCTTTTCATCCAATCACATGGCAGTGAAAGAGACTAAATATGAGGAAAGATAACTAAAAACTGGAGTAAAGCCATGATTCCATTAGTTGTTACTCAAATGACCTTTGCCAACTTTCCAAAAGTTAGCCCAAATGAAAACGGTTTTCTTGCTTTTCAGCTTTAGTCTTGGAGGAGGCTATGGTACAACTTTCTCAGACATCCCGAATCCGGGTTCATCGAGCACCACCTGACTCCACCATGCCACCCAAGTTCAAACCCAAGGATAACAAAGTTGTGTACTTGAGGTTCACTAGAGGCGAGGTGGGTGCCACATCTGCCTTGGCCCCCAAGCTCAGTTCCCTAGGTCTGTATGCAAAAAGAAAAAGTTGGTGATGACATAACCAAAGCATCCAGTGATGGGAAAGGTCTGAGAATTACAGAGAAGCTGACCACAAAGAACAGACAAGCCCAGATGAGGTGGTGCCCTCTGCCTCTGCCTGGTCATCAGAGCCCTCAAGGAGCCACCAAGAGACAGAAAGAAGCAGACAAACATTAAAGACAGTGGAAACTGTCAACATTGCCTGGCAGATGTGGCACTGGTCTTTAGCCAGAGAACTTTCTGGAATATTAAGGAGCTCCTGGGTACTGCACAGTCTTTGGACTTCAAGGTGGATGGCTGCCATTCCTGTGACATCAAGATGCAATGGAATGCTCAGCTGTTTAAAAAACAATGAGAGAAAGCATTTCAGTAAAAGACTACTTGAGAGAGAGAGAGAGAGAGAGAGAGAGAGAGAGAGAGAGAGAGAGAGAGAGAGAGAGAGAGGGAGGGAGGAACGAAGGAAGGAAGATGGTTTTCTTCAGTTGGTGGGTAAATGATTGTTTTTTGTTTCAAATTCATTTGTTCTTTCTGTTTGTCTATGATTTATTTATTTTCAACAAATTCTCATCAAAGCACTAAGTAGAGAACTAGCCAAGTCCCAAGGGAAGGTGAGTCCAAGCAGAGCCAAGGAAGCTGAGAAGGCACTGAATAAAACGTCAAGTTAGGGGTAATTTTAATCACAGCTCTGTTTATGAATTTCCTCTGCTTCAGATATGTAGCAATGATGGACAGTATTTTTAAAATTACAATCAGGCTCTAGACAATAAAAGTAAACATCTCCATGTACCATAAGTAGAAGGAGGGCACAGCGCTTGGTATTTTCACTGTGGGCTCTAGACACAGGCACGGATGTGAGACTTTAGACTCTGAGAGGACGACAAGTTTCCCACACCAGACAGGGGAGTAAAGAGGCCCTCTATATGGAGCCACAGACTATTATGGACGTTCTGCACTGTTGGGAGACCCGTGAAAGTCGCTGCCAATCATTGACTGTGGAGTTATATCTCATGATGAAATGCAGATCTATGAAAGTTGCATAAAGAGATAATGATATATATTATACACGCATTACACAATTGCAGATATTATACATCTACCTGTATACTATACAGATAAAATATGTGTGCAGATATTTATACATATACATATGCACATTATACAGATAAAAGAGTTGAAGGTGGACTTGTGAACAGCTTCCAACTTCATCTAATTGGAATCACAGAGAATAGGAATCACAAATACAATAATTAAAGAAATATGTGCTAGCAATTTTTTGAAAGCAGTGAAATGATTAGCAATAGACTCTATGTTATGTCATGCATGCCTTGAAGGCCTGGTCCCCAGTGCAAGCACTGCTCAGATATGAGGCTTTGGAGAAATTATTAGATAATAAGGATTCTATCTTCATAAATGCATGAATCCATTTCCAGATCCAGATTTTGAAGATACCATTACAAGATGGGGGAACTGTGAAGATGAGTCACTGGGAGCGTGTCCTGGCTCCTTCATGACTCTTTCTTTGTTTTTGGTCTCTACAAGGTGAGAGATCTCATCCTTCCCTCACTTCTGCTGCCCTGATATTCAACCTTGCCTCTGGCCTCAAGTAATAGAGTTCAGCCAAAACCGTGAGCTGAAGTTAACCTTTCCTCTTTTTAAGTTGCTTGTGGAGGGTGTTTTGTTACAGCAGCAAAAGCTGGCAAACACTCCAATAGCTAGCAGCATAAACAATAATCAGCTAATAGACAATTTATATCAAAAGGGTAGAGCGTAAGGAATAACTACAGCTTGTCCTCAAACCTATGAAATATATTACTCAATGGAAATAGCAGACTGACAGATACTTTCTTATCAATAACCAATACTGGAAGACAGCAGCTAGACATCTTCAGTGTGATAAGGAAAAATAACTTTTAACCTAATGATTTATCCTGGGCAATATATACAGTTTTGTCCATATGCTGATATTGAAAATCAAAAGAGTTTCCATTCACAAACCCAAACATCTATTATTACAGGATGTACCTTACCAGAAAAGAGTACCCATGAAAAAGAACCAAGTGTGAGCATAAGAACTAACAAAATAACTCTGTATAGCCTGTCAAGTCATGACATGGCGTTTGACCTATTATATTTCAAAGGGACAAAAAGCAAAAGTATGAAATAAGATGTTCAATGTGTAGATGTCAAGCTCATTCTCAGAAGTATCTATGGCCGTTGTTTAAAACAAAATGTTATGAAGTTTGGTACAGATTCCCCATGCCATGCCGTGAGGCTATGTGTGTGAAGGGGGGGGGGGTCAGGGGGTAGAGAGATTCATGGTCTTGGAAGAGAGCCAGATCTGAGGAGATGAGGGTGGTAAGGAACAGGCTAACGTGAATGGCCTACTAGCCACCTGAGTCCGGGGTTGTTTCTGGTCCTGGGTTTCTGCCAAGGGCCAAACTTGGTCCGAGGCCCTGAAGCTGCTGAGAAGGAATGAGATGATGTCTGTGGCTCCTGTCGACACTGAGGGCTGTGCAGAGGCCTGTGGTCTGGATTGCTACCTGGAGCCAGGTTGGCATCCGAGGGCCATGCTTGAGGGGGCCGAGTGGATCTGAATGGTATGCACAGTCACCTGGGGCCAGGGTGACATCTGGGGCCGGGTTGCTGCTAAAGACCATGTCTGGATCCATGGTCCTACCACAACCAGAGTCCATGGTGATGTCTGGTGGCCCACAGTGCCACCAGGGGCCACATGGATGCTCTGGGTCTGGGCAATAACCTGTAGCCATGTTGGTGTCTAAGGCTGTGCTCCAGCCAGAGCCATGCCAAGTGACCTGTACTGTCACCTGGGACCATAGAGTCACCTGGACCAGGGCTCCTGCAGAGGGCCATAGCTGGGTCTGTGACTCTATGTCAGCCAGGGTCTGAGTTGATGTCCGTGGTTCTCATTATTGTCAAAGACCATCTGGATACCTGGGGGGCTGGTCAGCCACTTGAGAACATGGGCCATTTGGCTATCTGGGTAGCTTGTGACATGGTGATGCCCAGGTCCTGCCAAGGGCCATGTCTGGGTCTGTGGTCCTGCTATGACTGTGGTCGGTTTTGATGCCCATGGTCTGTCCGTGTTGTCACAGGGGTCATAGGAACCAAATGTGTTGAAATCCAAGGACCATGATGAGCTGGCCACGCCCCTCACTGTATATTACGGCAGGGAACTGACTCATAACCCCACCCTACAATACGGAAAGATGACCCCACCCCTCACCATGGCATGCACCTTACCTGGGCAGCACACTAGAGCTGACCCTCTTGTCTGGATGCAGGTAAGCCAGCCCTGAGGGCTTGAGAATAGGAGAGCTGACCCCCTCCCCTTGTATGCCCCCTACAGCAATGGGCAAAACTGTGGAGCTGGCGTTGGTGGTGGGAGCATGGGTGATTCATACCAGAGGGCCTGAGAGCGAGAGAACTAATTGGCCCTGCTCCTCGCTGCAGGCTGCATTGGTGGGCTGGCCGAGGCAGTACTGGAGAGCACACCCTGGCAGTGACGGTGAGGGACCTGGCAGACTGACCACTCAGCTGCCACCCAGGCCCAGAACCACGCCTCTGAGTTGGCCCACACCAACATCCACCTCATCTATGATCTGCTGGAGCGTGTGGAGGGGATGCGCCTACAGATCCACAACTGCAGGGTCCCCACGCCACAGGACAACAGGATCTCCAAAAGGAGCCCCAGTGAGAGCCCATTAGCGATGTGTGACTCCAAGAAACCACACTGCAGTTTCCACAATGAGATGCTTCTTCTTTTTGTTGTTGTTGCGTTTGCTTTTGTTTTTGTTGCTTGTTTTCTGGTTTTGCTTTATGTCTTTGTTTTGTTTGGGTTTTTAAATTTTGTTTTGTTTGGGGGAAGGTTGCAACAGTGGAGGGCAGATATGGGGGAGGGGATGGGCAGGATAGGGATGCCTGCTGTGAAATCCTTAAAGAATCAATAAAAGAATCAATTGAAAAACGTTATCTAATTACTTTTATATTTTAAAAATTTGCCAATATCTAACTATTTTTACCTGGAAACCTAACATTGAACTTAACTCAACTATTATTTTAAATTTTAAGAAAAAACAACAGAAAGCACCATTAAAAAAACAACCTCAATATAAGCAGAGTGTTAAAAGCTGAGAACATACAAAAGTTCAGCAGTCCAAAAAGAGTCAAGGAAAAAAAGAAACTATGAAAAAGCATAGAAAATGTACATAGAGAGAAAAGAAAAGAATACCCAAATGTGGCATCATTTCATGGTCTTGGGCCCCAAACTGCAGAAAAAGGAGAGAGCTGAGCATCGGTGTTCATCACTGTCTCTCCGTGGCTGACTCTTCCCACCTTGAGTGTTCTGTGTGCATGTTTACAGCCCATGAGTTACATAGCACGAAGCCCATCTGAATGAAGTGTACAGCACACTAGTTTTTAGTACATTGATAGATTATGCAGCTACCCCTGCAACTCAATATTTGCATATTTTCGCCATTCCCCAGTAGAACCTTGCTTTATTATCAGTCACTCTT